CCTTCTGGGTGGGGGACTCTCTGCCCTTCTGGGGTGGGGGGCTCTCTGCCCTTCTGGGGTGGGGGGCTCTCTGCCCTTCTGGGGTGGGGGGGCTCTCTGCCCTTCTGGGGTGGGGGGCTCTCTGCCCTTCTGGGGTGGGGGACTCTCTGCCCTTCTGGGGGGGGGGGACTCTCTGCCCTTCTGGGGGGGGACTCTCTGCCCTTCTGGGGGGGGGGCTCTCTGCCCTTCTGGGGTGGGGGACTCTCTGCCCTTCTGGGGGGGGACTCTCTGCCCTTCTGGGGGGGGGGGGCTCTCTGCCCTTCTGGGGGGGGCTCTCTGCCCTTCTGGGGGGGGCTCTCTCCCCTTCTGGGGTGGGGGACTCTCTGCCCTTCTGGGGGGGGACTCTCTGCCCTTCTGGGGGGGGGGCTCTCTGCCCTTCTGGGGGGGGGGCTCTCTGCCCTTCTGGGGTGGGGGGCTCTCTGCCCTTCTGGGGTGGGGGGGCTCTCTGCCCTTCTGGGGTGGGGGACTCTCTGCCCTTCTGGGGTGGGGGACTCTCTGCCCTTCTGGGGGGGGGGGGGAAGGGACTTTCTACCCTTCTGGGGGGGACTCTCTACCCTTCCTGGGGGGGACTGTCTACTCTTCCTGGGGGATTCTCCTCATGTCGTACATAACATCGTCCCAATGGAGTCTAAATGCTAATCTGACTTTACCCAACTTACCGTAGCCTAACCCAAGCCAATCTAGCCTAACTCAACATAGCCTAACCTAAGTTAATGCATAAATTCTAACAGTATTTATACAGTCTAGCAAATATAAAACAAGATTTGTTAAGTCGTTTTGTATAGGATTTGAACATACTTATCTCTGTCAATCTCCCAATTCAATCCTACTCATATCCCCGATTTTTAGTTCACTTTTTTCAGATTTATGAGAATTTTATATAACTTTATTTTACTTTTACTCTCTATGAGTTTGACTTTGTTTTTTTAATTATGTGTACGAGTAAACTGCATTAATACAAACACAATTTAGTGCATTGGTTGTATTTATTGTATTCCACTCCCACCCTGGGATGGCTCAGGGGTGAATCAGGGGTTTTCGTTTGCCCGAAACGCATTGCGTAATAGTGGCTTTAGGCATTGTATGTACTAGCTCTATCTATATATCAATCCATTAATGTAACATCACTTGTATGTATATACCTTACCTGAATAAACATATTTATATTTATTTATTTATATTTAATAATAAACGAACTTAACAAACTTACAAAAGTAAGTTACCTCGGCGGGTTTGAATAGGAGAGGAGATATATATCGTCCCCCTGGTTTAGTGTTAGGCTTAAGGCCTCTCAACCTCTGAAGGGTTATTGAAGCCTATCAACCTCTGAAGGGTTATTAAGACCTATCAACCTCAGGAGGGTTATTGAGGCCTATCAACCTCTGGAGGGTTATTGAGGCCTATCAACCTCTGGAGGGTTATTGAGGCCTATCAACCTCTGGAGGGTTATTGAGGCCTATCAACCTCTGGAGGGTTATTGAGGCCTATCAACCTCTGGAGGGTTATTGAGGCCTATCAACCTCTGGAGGGTTATTGAGGCCTATCAACCTCTGGAGGGTTATTGAGGCCTATCAACCTCTGGAGGGTTATTGAGGCCTATCAACCTCTGGAGGGTTATTGAGGCCTATCAACCTTTGGAGGGTTATTGAGGCCTATCAACCTTTGGAGGGTTATTGAGGCCTATCAACCTCTGGAGGGTTATTGAGGCCTATCAACCTTTGGAGGGTTATTGAGGCCTATCAACCTCTGGAGGGTTATTGAGGCCTATCAACCTCTGGAGGGTTATTGAGGCCTATCAACCTCTGGAGGGTTATTGAGGCCTATCAACCTCTGAAGGGTTATTAAAAACATAGACCTCTGGAGAGTTATAAGACCTATCAGCCATAGAGGATTATTTAAGACTTATCAACATCTGCACGGTTATTAAGGCCTATTAACCTATGAAATATTATCAAGGCCATCAAAATAACATAGTGTCCAAACAACAAGTATGGTTAGGAAGGCAGAGGGAATGGTCTGGGGTACGGGATGAACATAGGCCTGTTGGATTCGCCAGAATTCAAAAGAGAACGGCGTGCCGGGGACAGACTCACACTAAACATAGAAAAGACCTACTACATCTTATTTGGAAGCAAATCAACAAATGCAATTCAGCTTCAGATAGGCAATGTTAACATCAGCAATAAAAATGATGAAAAGTTTCTTGGCCTATTCGTAGACAAGAGACTCAACTTCAGCACCCACATACAACACATAACTAAGAAAGTTTCTAAAACAGTTGGTATACTCTCCAAAATCAGATATTATGTACCTAACTCTGCTCTCCTCTCACTATGTTATGCACTAATCTATCCCTATCTTAATTATGGTATCTGTGCATGGGGGTCTACCACTGCAAACCACCTCAAGTCCATCATCACCCAGCAAAAATCTGCTATCAGAATAATAACAAACTCTGCTTTCAGATAACACTCAGCTCCCTTGTTTAAATCCCTAAACATGTTAAGCATAATCTCACTCCATACATTCTCTTGTGTTAATTACATTTACAAAACCCTGTTCTTAAATGCAAACCATGCTCTGAAACTCTCCCTGGACAGATGTAATAGGACCCATTATCATCACACCAGAAATAAATATCTTTGATATCCCCCAAGAGTCAAACTTAATCTGTGTAAACACTCTATGCAAATAAAGGGACCCAGTCTATGGAACTCACTCCCTAATGAATTGAAAAGCTGTCCAACTTTTGCCTTATTCAAAAACAAAAATTACCTAATTTCATCTTTATAGTGTCTTACCTTGTGCTCTAAACTCTTACTGTATCTAGTGCTACCCAATCCCCCAATATATATGTACCTAAGCCATATAACTTTGCCATTGTGATCATTGTTGTCATCTTATATATGCTACCAATTGGCTTTATTGTGCCTACTAATTTTTGTCAAATTATCAAAGCTATCAGTGCTATCGATCAAAGCTATCAGTGCTATCGATCAAAGCTATCAGTGCTATCAATCAAAGCTATCAGTGCTATCAATCAAAGCTATCAGTGCTATCAATCAAAGCTATCAGTGCTATCAATCAAAGATATCAGTGCTATCAATCAAAGCTATCAGTGCCATCAATCAATCAATGTGTTTTAATATACTAATCACTCTCAAATTTTTTCTTACAATGTACCTGTTAACATTTTAAAAATTTTGCAAGAATTTACCTTCTTAATATTATCTGCTAGATTAAGGACCTGCCCGAAACGCTGTGCGTACTAGTGGCTTTACAAGAATGTGAAACTCCAATGCTATTTACTCCCATAAGCCCAATATATATTGGGCTTATGGCCCAATTATATATATATAATTCTTGTATATATATAAATATATAAATAAATAAAATAAATAAATAGATGGATGGATGGATAGAAAGATAGACAGAGAGAAAAAAAAAAGCCTTAACAACGCCGGATAGTCCTCAGTCACCTTATCAGACTGTGTGAATGACAGTCACACAGAATGACTGTGTGACTGTCCTGGGTTGGAGAGCCAGATGTTTGAGGCTAGCCTCACCAAAATGTATGCAGGGTGCATGGTCTGGGGTACTGGGTGGACATAGGCTGGTCGGGGTAGGCCTAAATTCAATTCATTAAGAAATAGGCGATTTTCATTAAGTCTGAAATGAATTTGGGATGAAACTGGTAATGCGATGTCCATAGAGAGTGAAGTTAACCCACGCAATTTCTGAGTATTTTCTGAGAGAAACGGAAGTCTTATTAAAAACAGTATGATAAATGAAAATATATATGCATTTACTCATTTTATTAATATAAAGTAAGACGTTTCAGGATACTGAATTCTGTTATCAGTGCTAGAAAGATAATATTTATTTATCTGTTTATTTATTTATATATTTATACTTCTTACATTTATATGTAAGATAATATTTACATCGCTAGTAATATATATATTACAAACATATATATTTACTCAAAATTAATATTCAAATAGTTAAAAGACCAAATTATATACAAATAAAATACCAAATTATATACAAATAAAATACCAAATTATATACAAATAAAATACCAAATTATATACAAATAAAAGCCCAAATTATACACAAATAAAAGCCCAAATTATATACACAAACCCATAAAAATAAAGGGACTCAACACAGACTTGAGGGAATATGACGATTAATAACTGAGCCGACGACTCTGAGCGGGTCAACTCTGGTTTGATTTTGAAAAATTGAAACACTTTCCAAAATATTGAGTTCAAGGCGAGACGAACTACAGAACAAAAACAGTGAAACTGATGTTCAGAACACAGTGTTGCAGCAGCAGTCCAGCTAGCAACACTGCCGGTAGAGCGACCAGTGTTGCAGCAGCAGACCAGCTAGCAACACTGCCGGTAGAGCGACCAGTGTTGCAGCAGCAGTCCAGCTAGCAACACTGCCGGTAGAGCGACCAGTGTTGCAGCAGCAGTCCAGCTAGCAACACTGCCGGTAGAGCGATGAGTGTTGCAGCAGCAGACCAGCTGGCAACAATGCCGGTAGAGCGACCAGTGTTGCAGCAGCAGACCAGCTAGCAACACTGCCGGTAGAGCGACCAGTGTTGCAGCAGCAGTCCAGCTAGCAACACTGCCGGTAGAGCGACCAGTGTTGCAGCAGCAGACCAGCTAGCAACACTGCCGGTAGAGCGACCAGTGTTGCAGCAGCAGCAGACCAGCTAGCAACACTGCCGGTAGAGCGACCAGTGTTGCAGCAGCAGCAGACCAGCTAGCAACACTGTCAGTAGAGCGACCATTGTTGCAGCAGCAGCAGACCAGCTAGCAACACTGCCAGTAGAGCGACCAGTGTTGCAGCAGCAGCAGACCAGCTAGCAACACTGCCAGTAGAGCGACCAGTGTTGCAGCAGCAGCAGACCAGCTAGCAACACTGCCAGTAGAGCGACCAGTGTTGCAGCAGCAGCAGACCAGCTAGCAACACTGCCGGTAGAGCGACCAGTGTTGCAGCAGCAGTCCAGCTAGCAACACTGCCGGTAGAGCGACCAGTGTTGCAGCAGCAGTCCAGCTAGCAACACTGCCGGTAGAGCGATGAGTGTTGCAGCAGCAGACCAGCTGGCAACAATGCCGGTAGAGCGACCAGTGTTGCAGCAGCAGACCAGCTAGCAACACTGCCGGTAGAGCAACCTGTGTTGCAGCAGCAGACCAGCTGGCAACACTGCCGGTAGAGTGACCAGTGTTGCAGCAGCAGTCCAGCTAGCAACACTGCCGGTAGAGCGACCAGTGTTGCAGCAGCAGTCCAGCTAGCAACAATGCCGGTAGAGCAACCTGTGTTGCAGCAGCAGTCCAGCTAGCAACACTGCCGGTAGAGCGACCAGTGTTGCAGCAGCAGTCCAGTTAGCAACACTGCCGGTAGAGCGACCAGTGTTGCAGCAGCAGTCCAGCTAGCAACAATGCCGGTAGAGCAACCTGTGTTGCAGCAGCAGACCAGCTAGCAACACTGCCGGTAGAGCAACCTGTGTTGCAGCAGCAGACCAGCTAGCAACACTGCCGGTAGAGCGACCAGTGTTGCAGCAGCAGACCAGCTAGCAACATTGCCGGTAGAGCGACCAGTGTTGCAGCAGCAGCAGACCAGCTAGCAACACTGCCGGTAGAGCGACCAGTGTTGCAGCAGCAGCAGACCAGCTAGCAACACTGCCGGTAGAGCGACCAGTGTTGCAGCAGCAGCAGACCAGCTAGCAACACTGCCGGTAGAGCGACCAGTGTTGCAGCAGCAGCAGACCAGCTAGCAACACTGCCAGTAGAGCGACCAGTGTTGCAGCAGCAGCAGACCAGCTAGCAACACTGCCGGTAGAGCGACCAGTGTTGCAGCAGCAGCAGACCAGCTAGCAACACTGCCGGTAGAGCGACCAGTGTTGCAGCAGCAGCAGACCAGCTAGCAACACTGCCGGTAGAGCGACCAGTGTTGCAGCAGCAGCAGACCAGCTAGCAACACTGCCGGTAGAGCGACCAGTGTTGCAGCAGCAGCAGACCAGCTAGCAACACTGCCGGTAGAGCGACCAGTGTTGCAGCAGCAGCAGACCAGCTAGCAACACTGCCGGTAGAGCGACCAGTGTTGCAGCAGCAGCAGACCAGCTAGCAACACTGCCGGTAGAGCGAGATGAACGGTGACCTTGCAAGCAGTGTTGCAGAGCCGTGTATTGCAGTAGCAGATGTGTTCCAACCCGTCGTTCCGTTCCGTATAGAAACACCCGGAGCGGTGGTGATCCCGGGAACAGTAGCGACTGACGTCATCTGGGGAGCATAAGGAACACGCTGGTTCAGTTATTCATACAAGGACTAACTACACACATGGTGTAATATCTGTATAAAGTAAATATGCAATTATGAAGTTAATTCTGAAATTGCCAGTGTATGGTAATACGAATTAATACTATTTTTATATTATATATAAAATTGTATATTGTAGAATTAATAATATTTTATATTCATACAAAGACTAACTACACACATGGTGTAATATCTATATAAACTAAATATGCAATTATGACGTTAATTCTGAAATTGTTAGTGTATGGTAATACGAATTACTATTATTTTTATATTATATATAAAATTGTATATTATTAAATTAATAATATTTTATATTATTTTAAAGAACTATTATTTTGTAATGAAATTATAGTTATAATTATTTATAGCCTAATTATCTGGGGGAAATTAACACAATACCTTAGTGTCTGGGTGAAGTACACAATATATATATTAAAAACCAAGTTTTGGGATGTAAACTGTATCCTTTCTCAAGGTGCTGTATAATACACTTGAGAATGGACGTAGGTTGCATTTGAAGTTTGGGTTGGAATACACTTTGTATTTATATTAAGTTAATTTAAGTCATTCCTTTGTCTTCATTATTATTATTATTATTATTAGTAGTAGTAGTAGTATTATATATGTGTGTGTCTGTATATATGTGAACGTCTGTGTGTGTGTGTTTGTCTTTGCCAGCGTATATTTATGTATAAATGTGTATTTTTCTTTGTATGTCTTTATATATTTGTGTTTGTGTATATCTGTATTTGTCTGTATATCTGTCCTTGTCTTCTGTTATATTGTCTATGTCTGTCTGTCTGTCTCTTTCTGTGTATTACACACACACACACACACACACACACGCACATACACACACACACGCACACACACACACACACACACACACACACACACACGCACATACACACACAAACAGAAAGCCTCTGTCAGAAAGCCTTTGACACAGTACCCCATAAAAGGCTGTTATAAAAGTTGAAGCAACAGGCAGGAGTAATAGGTAAGGTGCTCCAGTGGATAAGGGACAACAACAACAGGAAACAGCGAGTAACGGTGAGGGGGAAGGCATCAGAGTGACGAGATGTCACCAGCGGAGTCCCACAGGGCTCTGTACTTGGACCCATCCTGTTTCTAATATATGTAAACGATCTTCCGGGGGTATAGACTCATTCCTCTCAATGTTTGCTGATGATGCAAAAATTATGAGAAGGATCAAGACAGATGAAGATAGACAGAGACTACAGGACGACCTGGACAAACTGGAGGAATGGTCTAGAAAATGGCTGCTAAAGTTCAACTCAGGAAAGTGTAAAGTAATGAAATTAATCGAAGGGAGTAGAAGGCTGAACACAAGGTACCATCTGGGAGGTGAAATCCTGCAAGAGTCAAATAGAGAGAAGGATCTGGGGGTTGATATCACACAGAACCTGTCCCCAGAGGCCCACATCAAAAGGATATCATCAGCGGCATATGCTAGTTTGGCCAACATAAGAACTGTCTTTGGAAACTTGTGTAAGGAATCGTTCAGAACCCTGTATACCACTTATGTCAGGCCAATCCTGGAATATGCAGCTCCAGCCTGGAGTCCATATCTAGTTAAACACAAGACAAAGTTAGAGAAGATTCAGCGGTATGCCACCAGGCTCGTCCCGGAACTGAGAGGATTGAGCTACGAGGAAAGGCTGAAGGAGCTGAACCTCACGTCCCTGGAAAACAGAAGACTAAGGGGAGACATGATAACCACCTACAAAATTCTCGGGAATTGACAGTGTGGACAAAGACAAACTCTTTAGCACGGGTGGGACACGAACAAGGGGACACAGGTGGAAACTTAGTACCCAGATGAGCCACAGAGACGTTAGAAAGAATTTTTTCAGTGTCAGAGTAGTTAACAAATGGAATGCATTAGGAAGTGATGTGGTGGAGGCTGACTCCATACACAGTTTCAAGTGTAGATATGATAGAGCCCAATAGGCTCAGGAATCTGTACACCAGTTGATTGACGGTTGAGAGGCGGGACCAAAGAGCCAGAGCTCAACCCCCGCAAACACAACTACGTGAGTACACACACACACAAAATAGGGGTCTGGTAGCTGAGCGGACAGCGCGCAGGACTTGTAATTCTGTGGCCCAGGTTCGATTCCCGATCCAGGCAAAAACAAATGGGCAAAGTTTCGTTCACCCTGATGCCCCTGTTACCTAGCAGTAAATAGGGACCTGGAAGTTAGACAGCTGTTACGGAGCTGCTTCCTGTGTGTGTGTGTGTGTGTGTGTGTGTGTGTGTGTGTGTGTGTGTGTGTGTGTGTGTGTGTGTGTGTGTGTGTGTGTGTGTGTGTGTGTGTATGTGTATGTACTCACCTAGTTGTACTCACCTAGTTGTGTTTGCGGGGGTTGAGCTCTGGCTCTTTGGTCCCGCCTCTCAACCGTCAATCAACAGGTGTACAGATTCATGAGCCTATCGGGCTCTGTCATATCTACATTTGAAACTGTGTATGGAGTCAGCCTCCACCACATCACTTCCTAATGCATTCCATTTGTCAACCACTCTGACACTAAAAAAGTTCTTTCTAATATCTCTGTGGCTCATTTGGGCACTCAGTTTCCACCTGTGTCCCCTTGTGCGTGTTCCCCTTGTGTTAAATAGACTGTCTTTATCTACCCTATCAATCCCCTTCAGAATCTTGAATGTGGTGATCATGTCCCCCCTAACTCTTCTGTCTTCCAGCGAAGTGAGGTTTAATTCCCGTAGTCTCTCCTCGTAGCTCATACCTCTCAGCTCGGGTACTAGTCTGGTGGCAAACCTTTGAACCTTTTCCAGTTTAGTCTTATCCTTGACTAGATATGGACTCCATGCTGGGGCTGCATACTCCAGGATTGGCCTGACATATGTGGTATACAAAGTTCTGAATGATTCTTTACACAAGTAAATGTGGGTGTGTGTGTGTGTGTGTGGTGTGGGGAAAAAAATGTAGTTAGTAAACAGTTGATTGACAATTGAGAGGCGGGCCGAAAGAGCAGAGCTCAACCCCCGCAAGCCCAACTAGGTGAATACAACTAGGTGAACAGAGGGAGTACTAACCAGGTGTACTAGAGTGCCAGGTGGTGACACAGGTGCCCAGGCAGGCCAGGGTGTGGTTCGGAGTACAAGGTGAAGTCTCCGGACAATGGTGACATCGTAGTGTTGATCCTGTGGGAGATATATAGCTACCTTAGTGGTGGCACTGACTTCATATGTGTGTGTACTCTCCTAGTTGTGCTTGCGGGGGATGCAACCCGTTCTCGCACTTTCTTACAGTCAATATTGACTTATTAAATACGTGCATATGTGACATACTAAACATACTAGTTTACCTTGAAAAGCTTCATAGAAAACACCGACCTTACCTAACCTTCTTAGTATGTTAAGATAAGCATCTTATTGCTTCGTAATTACAATTATTACTTAACCTATACCTATAATAGCTATAATATACCTATATCTATACCTATAATAGGTTAAGTAATAATTGTAATTACAAAGCAATAAGATGCTTATCTTAACATACTAAGAAGGTTAGGTAAGGTCGGTGTTTTCTATGAAGCTTTTCAAGGTAAACTAGTATGTTTAGTATGTCACATATGCACGTATTTAATAAGTCAATATTGACTACGAAAGTGCGAGAACGGGTTGCACCGTTAAGTAAGCACTACTACCACCCAGTCTTCTCCCTTCACTATATATTATATCCCATCACCACATAATCTACTCATAATCTACTCCCCATCACCACATAATCTACTCCTCATCACCACGTAATCTACTCCCCATCACCACATAATCTACTCCCCATCACCACGTAATCTACTCCCCATCACCACGTAATCTACTCCCCATCACCACGTAATCTACTCCCCATCACCACATAATCTACTCCCCATCACCAAGTAATCTACTCCCCATCACCACGTAATCTACTCCCCATCACCACGTAATCTACTCCCCATCACCACGTAATCTACTCCCCATCACCACGTAATCTACTCCCCATCACCCTCCGCACCACATAAAACATGTGGTGGTACTATAGAGGTGTGTGGGTCAGGTGTGTGGGTCAGGTGTGTGGGTCAGGTGTGTGGGTCAGGTGTGTGGGTCAGGTGTGTGGGTCAGGAGTGTGGGTCAGGTGTGTGGGTCAGGTGTGTGGGTCAGGTGTGTGGGTCAGGAGTGTGGGTCAGGTGTGTGGGTCAGGTGTGTGGGTCAGGTGTGTGGGTCAGGTGTGTGGGTCAGGTGTGTGGGTCAGGAGTGTGGGTCAGGTGTGTGGGTCAGGTGTGTGGGTCAGGTGTGTGGGTCAGGTGTGTGGGTCAGGTGTGTGGGTCAGGAGTGTGGGTCAGGTGTGTGGGTCAGGTGTGTGGGTCAGGTGTGTGGGTCAGGTGTGTGGGTCAGGTGTGTGGGTCAGGAGTTATACACTAGTGAAGCCACAGTTAGGTCAAGCTTTTCCGGCAAAACTGAAATTATTTAGATAATATTGTGCTTCGTGGGCCGGAACACCGCCCCGGAACACCACCCCGGAACACCGGCCCGGAACACCACCCCGGAACACCGCCCCGGAACACCGCCCCGGAACACCGCCCCGGAACACCACCCCGGAACACCGCCCCGGAACACCACCCCGGAACACCGCCCCGGAACACCGCCCCGGAACACCGCCCCGGAACACCACCTCGGAACACCGCCCCGGAACACCACCCCGGAACACCACCCCGGAACACCGCCCCGGAACACCACCCCGGAACACCGCCCCGGAACACCGCCCCGGAACACCGCCCCGGAACACCACCTCGGAACACCGCCCCGGAACACCACCCCGGAACACCGCCCCGGAACTCCGACCGGAACACCGCCCCGGAACACCACCCCGGAACACCGCCCCGGAACACCACCCCGGAACACCGCCCCGGAACACCACCCCGGAACACCGCCCCGGAACACCGCCCCGGAACACCGCCCCGGAACACCACCCCGGAACACCGCCCCGGAACACCACCCCGGAACACCGCCCCGGAACACCGCCCCGGAACACCGCCCCGGAACACCACCCCGGAACACCACCCCGGAACACCGCCCCGGAACACCGACCGGAACACCGCCCCGGAACACCACCCCGGAACACCACCCCGGAACACCGCCCCGGAACACCGCCCGGAACACCGCCCCGGAACACGGGCCACAATACTCACCAGCGTGGAGGGCGGCCATGAACACGAGGGCGCAGAGTGCCACCTTCATGGTGGCCGGCTCCGACCTCCTGGGGGAGGAGATCACCTTCAGGAGCTCAGCTACTGTTGTCTGGGGAGGGTCGGGTGGGGTCCAGCACCTCGCAGAGCAGGGAACAAGGAGCGTTAGTCGCTCTAACACCCACAGTAGCAGGAGCACTGCTAGCAGAAGAGCCAGCAGCAGTAGCTCCGGCCAGTAACACTAGACGGATATCAACTGAGTGTCCACCTGTTTGTATATTTTTCTGCGAACCCCAATTCTTGTAGCCCCCCTGCTCCCTCCCTCCCTTGCAGCCCCTCCCCCCCCCCCCTTCCCTGCATTGCATATTCTCATCCCTCTCTTGCAGACCTCCGTACTCTCCCTTCCAGCCCCCTCCCATGCAGACCCCCTTCTCCGTTCCATTTGTACAGTCCCTCCCTCCTCTAGATCTCTTCCTACCATAGAGAACCTCTTCGCGTCGTGGACGAGCCCCTCATCACCTTCTAGACCGACTCTCTAGCTTGTAGACCACTTCCTTTGCTTTCAGACCAACTCCTTTTCTTGTAGACCTCTTCCACCTATTCCCTATCTTAGATACCATCCTCCCCATGTTTGCAGACCCCCTTCTCCCCCTATTTCAGACATTTACAGACCCCTTCTCCCCAACTTCACACATTTACAGACCCCTTCTCCCCTACTTCACACATTTACAGACCCCTTCTCCCCTACTTCAGACATTTACAGACCCCTTCTCCCCTACTTCACACATTTACAGACCCCTTCTCCCCTACTTCAGACATTTACAGACCCCTTCTCCCCTACTTCACACATTTACAGACCCCTTCTCCCCTACTTCACACATTTACAGACCCCTTCTATTCCATGTACACCCTCCCTCCCTCTCTCTCTCCTCCCTTTCATTGTCCATAATAGGTTCTGTGACGTCAATAGATGGTATCTATTCTAATATTTGTTGTACATACGCCATCAATGTTGTTGTTTATACAGTACACTTGTACTTATTGTTCCCCTTCCTGCTTCCTGCGAATATTTGTGTCTGTTTGTGTTCGCGAAACCTGAATGTTTTTGTTGTTTAGGGATGTGGGTTTTTGTACTTTTTGTAAATAGTTACCTCAAGACTTGCATTACGATCCGGATTCACGAAGCAGTTACGCTAGTACTTACGAACGTGTACATCTTTCCTCAATCTTTGACGGCTTTGTTTACATTTATTAAACAATTTACAAGCATTAAAACTTGCCAATCAACTGTTGTTATTGTTATAAACAGCCTCCTGGTGCTTCGGAGCTCATTACCTGTTTAATAATTGTAAAAAATGCCGCCAAAGATTGAGAAAAGATGTACAGGTTCGTAAGTGCTTGCGTAACTGCTTCGTGAATCTTGCTCCTTGACTTGATCTACCTGAGGGTCACTTTCACTAGTGGCCACCACGAGGCCAGGAAGCCGGCGGCTTGTTAAAGGTCACTCCACTGTTCCTGAAGATTTTTTTAATTTTGTTTTTTAATTGAAATAATGTCCATGCAGGCATTTACTGTTTTAGTAGGTCGGTAATTTTATGAGTTTATTAGCCAGTGAGTAAAAAAATATAATATATATATTGTGTTAAAATCTCCATCATTTATCTAGTCGACGTCGCTATTTTCATTTCCCAAGTTTAGGGATCACTGAAAATATATTGAGCCCGTACGATGGGATGGAACCACGGGAGACATCTCCCGTCACGCAGGGTGCAGTCGCACCTCCACAGATCTCCAGTATCAGCTCTTGATACTGGTAATGGCTCAAAAGAGCCACCACTTACGGGCTATTCATGCCCGTGCCACCTTTTGGGTGGCTTAATCTTCATCAATCAATCAACAGTTATTGTGGCCTGGGTTGACGTAGTGGGCGTCGTTGTGGGAGTGGTCTTGACACTAACAGCACCTGACCTCGTGCCTCGGGACCCAGACACCCCACTCCACGTAGCCTAGTATCTCAATTTCAGCACTTAGCCGCAGGCCACAGCCCCGCTCCTGTGCCACGTAAGTCCACTACGGGCTCACCATAGCCCGTGCTACTTGGAACTTTCTGTTCCTAGTAGCTGAATCTTAAACAAGAACAAACAGCTGCACCCACGTCACTATATGAAGGGTCTTTCCCACATCTAGTGTAGTAAATATATAGTGCACTCATCTCTACAGCTAGGCGTGTGTTCTACAGCTGTTCTCCATGCTCTCTACACCAGAGAGCATGGGAGAACACACACACTGGCGTATAAAATATAACATTTATTAACGCAATAGCCACTGTGCATGGGGGAAGAATTTGTAACGTAGGTTTATGTTACGTTGTTGAGTAGATTGGATACACAGTATTTAGTGAGTTTTCATATTTATTTAGTAGTCCTGGATACAGCAGTGTCGTAGACGTTGAGACGGAGCTTGGAGTAGAGCAGAGAGATCTTCTGGTAAGGCCGGAGTCGCGGAGCTCTATGTGGGAGAGCGTGGCGGCTCGATGGGGAATCCTAAGTGACTAAACTTGATGTGGAGCGAGAGCGTTGTTGCTCCATGTGGTCCTAGTCTGCTGTCTGCTGTGTGTCGATTGATTTGATTGATAAAGATTAAGCCAGCCAAGAGGTGGCACGGGCATGAATAGCCCGTAAGTGGTGGCCCTTTTGAGCCATTACCAGTATCAAGAGCTGATACTGGAGATCTGTGGAGGTGCGACTGCACCCTGCGTGACGGGAGATGTCTCCTGCTGTGTCGAAGCTGTAGCGTCTTGGGGTTGATTAGAACTGCCAACGCCGAGTACTACATTGTTGACTGGAAATTGTACTGTCGGCTATTCGATTGATTGATAAAGATTAAGCCAGCCAAGAGGTGGCATAGGCATGAATAGCCCGTAAGTCGGCTATTCACTTTTTGCTTGCTTATATTTGGTGACTACACCTCAGCTTCCTCCAATAGGATAGAAGGATGGAAGATAGATTTATCAGGGGAAAGCGCCAAGCCATTACGACTATATAGCACTGGGAAGGGGTCAGGATTTGGGATGGGACGGGGGGTGGGGGGGGGGGGGAGAGGAATGGTGCATAACCATTTGGACGGTCGGGAATTGAACGCCGATCTGCATGAAGCGAGACCGTCGGTCTACCATCCACTCCAAGTGGTTGGGCGATGGATGGAAGAGCTGTTACCTGTAATTAGAAAAAGGATTTGATTAGTCATAATTAGTGCTAATTAGTTTGTCATTAAGATAATGAGAGATTTGAGCGAGTATAAGGTTCACTCGCTACACATTTCAGTTACTACGTCTCACTGGCAAGGGAAGGAAGGGCATTCTCAGGGAAAACGCCAAGCCATTACGACTATATACCACTGGGAAGGGGTCAGGATAAGGCACGGGAGACATCTCCCGTCACGCAGGGTGCAGTCGCACCTCCACAGATCTCCAGTATTATCTATTGATACTGGTAATGACTCAAAAGGGCCACCACTTACGGGCTATTCATGCCCGTGCCACCTTTTGGGTGGCTTAATCTTCATCAATCAATCAATCAGGATAAGGATTTGGGATGGGACGGGGAAAAGAAATGGTGCCCAACCACTTGGACGGTCGGGGATTGAACACCGACTTGCATGAAGCGAGGAGACCGTCACTCTACCGTCCAGCTCAAATGGTTGGGCGCCTCACTAGTGATAGACTACCAAAAGGACCCAACTAGATCAAACAGGTTATACTTAAGTAGCCTCGCCCACTTCAACACTTGGGGCCTGGTAGCCTGGTGGATAGCACGCAGGACTTGTAATTCTGTGGCGCGGGTTCGATTCCCGCACCAGGCAGAAACAAACGGGCAAAGTTTCTTTCACCCTGAATGCCTCTGTTACCTAGCAGTAAATAGGTACCTGGGAGTTAGTCAGTTGTTACGGGCTGCTTCCTGGGGTGTGTGTGTGTTTGTGTGGTGTGGAGAAATATGTGGGAAAAAAAAAAGTAGTAAACAGTTGAGAGGCAGGCCGAAAGAGCAAAGCTCAACCCCCGCAAACTCAACTAGGTGAATACATCATGGAACATCTGCAAGATCATCACTAACCTGTCTGGCTGGGGCCCTACACCAATCACATGACCTCAGATCACTACCATGATGCCTCAAGTGTACTTGGCAAGGGCACTTCACCAACCTGTAATACTTTGCAGGGTGACCACACTTAAATCCTGGCATTATTTTGGGATATGAATGAATAGTTTGCTCTCATCATGCCTTTTTATTACGTCTTATAGTCTCTTGCAGTTGGAGAAATTTTAATTACTGATTAAGGTTTCATATGGAACTGGGACCATGCCAGTGCTAGTACTAGTTTAAAGGGTACATTTGATTCAGTCGTACGAATAAATAATTATTCTAAGAAAGCATGAATGCTTTCATGCTGACTTTATAGCACTGCCTAAACTGATCCAATAAGAATTTCAGCTTGCATTGTTATTTCAAATTTCAGCAGTACACTTTTTTAATTTCATTTCCAGCTGCAACAAAGGTGTTATTAACAAGATGACTATTCAAAGGTGAAAGTTACAAGTAATAGATCTGATTGAAGCTTCAGACTATTCGCTGCATTTTAAAGTTGTTTCTTCTGTCGGCGAGAACCGTAAAAACTAAAAAGTAGCAATTGTATTTATCAGTATGGGTTATAAGCAGATTCACTGTCATGTTTTCACCCTTGATAGTATATATCGTAAGGTGTCTTTGTCATGTGATAGCCCGGGGTTACCTGCATATTATAGTGCAACCTGTGGGAGATTGACTGATCTCCACCTGCTACATCACGGAAGGTCCTAGTGTCGAGGTTCCAAACCCTCGCTTCTATATAGGCCGCTTAACTACCCTCTGATTAGCAGAGCATGAAAGCCCATACCCCATACCCAGTCCCCTAAACTTCTACAAGGCAATGCCCACTGAATGTTGGGGGTTAAAATTTATTCTAACCAAGAGTTGTTCACAGGAATGCACTCAACAAAAGTATTAAGAAAATGAGAAAATACATTTTATTTATCTTTGATGTGTACAATTGCCACCACAAAGGTTTGGTTTAGTCAACTTCCAACTCTTGCTTCTCTACACACAACAAACATGCACATTTACATACATTCACACAACAAACATGTACACCTACACTTATACAACAAACATGCACACTTATACACATTTACACAACCTTTTGGGTGTCAAACACATTTACACAACCTTCTGGGTGTCACTTAAACACACAGAGCACGCAACACAGAAGCTTACAACAACAATAACAAATCATTGAAAAATAGTTACAATAGAAAGTCATGACATATTCAGCATAAATTATCATACAAATGTACAAAACACAAGGATTAAGGTTAGCCCTTGATGGAAAACACTATAAAAACTCTGAGATTCAAAGGTAATTTCCAAGAATGAGTTAATCAAACAAAACGTCCATTGTCATTGTCGGTCAAAGTAAGATAAATTGCACATTAATCTTGCTACACTAAGGTATCAACAACCACGAACTTCCTCGATTCAGCTCCATATCTTTACAGAACCATAATTGTAAAAATACCGTCAACAGTCAAACAAATTTTTTTAAGGACAATATTTTGGTTGAAACATTGAAAAACAAGATTTTAAAAACAATAATTTTTAAATAATTATCACCAAAAAATTAGGGTCGAACGACCAAAAGAGCATCTGTGTTAAAATAAATATTTTACAGACCGACTGACAGTTTCATAAAAATGTTAAAAACAACCAAACAGCTGCTGGAGGTAAAAGAAACACAAGAGTCATGCAACACTGCCAATGACAGAGAGAGAACATAAATATCTGTATAAGAGGATGTGCTGGGAGAGGGCCGAGATCACAGACTATAGATGGTCCAGTTCACAGATAAATATTAAACCAAATTTCCTGGTGACACTTCCATCGTACAACTCAACGTCTGCAACAGTAGAGACCATTGAGTCAATGCCGCTGCTATCAAGTACTACTCAACATCTGCAGCAATAGAGACCATTGAGTCAATATTGCTGCTATCACTAGGATTTGAACAGCCCAAGGATTTAGAGCAAATATACAAACACTTTTGTCCATGGAAAATGAGATACATAATCCATGGTTTCAATAATCACTATGAGAAGCATCCCTGGAGTTGCTTCACCACTTGAGCATCAAGAGAGCACAGATCAAAGTTGAAATGAGCATGAGTGAGCTGGAAGCTGCTATGTTCTGCTATGATATCAACTACTTGCTGTAGCTGGTGTCGATCAACAGAGTTCATGATCTTGTGTTGTAGCTCAACCAGTTCTTTAAGGTACTCAGGCGTTAATCGAGATGCTACTGGTTGCTCCTCTTTCACCCCCTTCATGTCCTCCTGTTTGATTTCTTCTTTTATTGGTTTTAAAGTCTCTTTTGGTGAGGCTACTGGAAGGCTTGTGGTGGTAGGGTTGGCATCTTGCTGTGTGCGTCGTTTCTTCTTCTCTCTCTGGGGAGGTCTTCGTGCAATTGTCTCTCTTTTGACACTAACTCGTGAATTATCTTTAACAGGAGGTGCTTCATCATCACTAGACAAAATTGGTTCCTTAACAATCTGCCGAGGTGTTGTTGATACCTGTTGGCCAGCTGCTATATGAGAAGATCGACTGGTATCAGAGGGGGACCGAAGGGGTACCTTTACTGGCCCTTTACATTCATCACCCACTCGTTCCTCACTCTCACTGGAAGAGCTACTAACGTCTTTCATCATAATACTCAGAGGGTGATTTGTTGCTCTGGAATCTGCCCCAGCTGCAAGTGGTGGTCGTGGAGGCCCGGTTCGTGTTACAGGAACCTGAGACTGAATCTCTGCTACTGACGTATGTGATGGTGAACTTCCACTGGAACTGCTGCTAGGTGAAGCAGTTGGTGACCTGGAAGCTGATCTTGACTTGGATCTGGCAGGGGAGCTGGATTGTGACCTACTACCAGACACTGACACTGATCGTGATCTAGATTTTGATCGTGATCTAGAAGGTGATCTGGACCGAGAAGGTGATCTAGAAGGTGACCTAGATTTAGACCTTGATACAGATGGTGATCTCGAAACTGATCTTCGAGATCCGGAGCTTGATCTGGAATGAGATCGAGATTTTGAACGTACAGGTGATCGAGACCTCGACGCAGAGCGTGATGGGCATGGTGATTCTCTGCCTACCGATGCTGGTGATGGAGGGCTTCTTGACCGTGAAGATTTTGAAGAAGAGCGGGAACATGGAGGCGAAGGAGATCTGGAAACAGAAACTGTGGGTGAACGGCTTCGTGATGTAGATTTTGAAGAAGATCTGGATCTTACAGGTGCAGGTGTAGGAACAGGCACAGGTTTTTCCTTTATCTTCTTCTCCTTGACTGCAACCTGAGGAGTGACAGCTATAGGCTCTTCCTTAATAGTTTCCTTATGCACAATCTTCTTTGCTTTGTGTTCTACCTTAGCTCTCTCCTTGGTGGGACTTCTGTCTCCACTTTTCACAGGCACCACCTCTTTTAAAACAGGTGCAACCATTTTTGTAGAGCTTTCAGCCTTGACAACCACTTTATCAGCAGGTTTCTCTCTCTCGGCTTCTGCAGATGGTGTCTCCTCCTTGTCTCTTCTTTTTTCTTTGTCTTTCTTTTTGTCCTTTTTCTTTTCTTTTATTTCTTCTACAGGCTTCTCTACTATTTTTGTACTTTCTGGTTCACATTTTTTCCTTTTTGCACTAGAGTCTGATTTTATACTACTGGTGGGTGAGAGTGATCGCTTAGATGCCGGAGATAATGACCGTTTAGAGGCTGGAGATGATGAGCGTTTTGATGAAGGGGATACTGAACGTTTTGACGATGGGGAAGAGGTTCGTTTAGTCGTCTCCTTTTCCCTCTGCTTCTTACAGTCTTTATCTCTGTCTTTATCCTTTTTGTGTTTGTCTCTATCCTTATCTCTATCTCTTTTATGCTTGTCTTTGTGACTCTTTTCCTTCACTTTATCACGTTTCTCTTCTTTCACTTCGGAAGAGGTGGGGGGAGGGGGCACGCTCGTAGCATTGGAGGAAGAACTTTTCTCACTCTTGTGTTTGTCCTTTGGTTTTTTATCACTGGATTTAGATGCAGGAGTTTTGTCTTTGTACTTCTCAGTAACTTTATCAGGCACTTTTTCCTTCTCCTTGGGAGGTTTCTCCTTACTGGTCTTCTTCTGATCCGTCACTTTCTTTATGGGCTCACCAAACAAGGCAGAGAACTGGTCAGACACTTTGGATTCCGGTTTTGCCTTAGGCTCCTGAAAAAAAAAAATAGTGTTAATTATCTTCCTTACAATTTATTAAATGATAATAGTACAGAGATAGTCACTGATGCACCTGCAATTCTTGCTATATCAAAGAAAAATTCAGCTCACATATAAAATTGAGCACCTTTGGTTACAAAGCACAACTTGTTCTAATAACTCAACCCAAACATATGAAAGGAAAGACCATCCTAGACTTTTGTAAAGCCACAGACGACTGGATAAAGATCCAGGATGGACCGAAAAGGTCTCTCTTACATTTCATTTGTTGGTTAGGTTATTATTTCTCAGCTGCGTTACTCTGACTTATTCTCTGCACATCTTGATCTGCATTTATTAATAAACTTCATTTGACAATTAAATCCCGAGTAATGAACAGCAAAGTTATACTTGACTTGCATACTAGAATAAGTCACTTCTCATCTTGAACAACTGCTTCATTATCTATCCCTAGTCTTGACCAGTTACCTCATGATCTACTCCTCATCTTGAATAGCTACCTGATGAGTTACTCCTTGTTTTCATCATCTACCCTGTATCTTTAACAGCTATCTCATGATCTACCCTACATATTTAACCCTTAAACTGCGCAAAACCTTATATGATGTGTGACACTGAACTCAGTTTTTTAAATTTTCTGAAACTCTTTCAAATGTTTTGTGAATAATCTACTAGGCAAATATTCCAACTTTGTCTAAATGCTACCGGTGTAACTTGAAAAACAAGAAAATAAAAAATAATTATAAATTGAATATTGAAAACTTCAGATTTTGAAATCAGCTGCAAAAATATAAAAATATCACCAACTGTTCATTTGGTGTTATTATGCTCGCAGAATAGCATATGATCTTCATTTTAGAACATAGGTTTTCAGAACAGTATAGTTTACTGAAAAAAAATTGTCAATATGGCATTTGAAATACAGTATGCGCAAATTTAGACAACAAAAATTTATAACTCCAAACGTTTAGGGTTTATGAAAAATCAATTCAATAGGGATTGTAGAACAGACAGCTGTGCACACTATATGTAAAAATGGTGAGAATTGGTCAGAAACTAGATTTTTGGATACTAAGTTGAAATTCTAGTTATAAATATAATTGAAGTTGAAGTTATCGACAATGAATAAGGCAGTTCTAATTCATAAATTTCGTTGTATCTTGTAATAAACATTGTTTGGTATTCGCACTCAACTATGTGAAAGTTGTAGGTCAATGTGTGTAGAAATGAAGTCAAGATAAGCAGTCTCCGTGGTGTAGTGGTAAGACACTCACCTGGCGTTCCGCGAGCGCTATGTCATGGGTTCGTATCCTGGCCGGGGAGGATTTACTGGGCGCAATTCCTTAACTGTAGCCTCTGTTTAACGCAACAGTAAAATGTGTACTTGGATGAAAAAACGATTCTTCGCGGCAGGGGATCGTATTCCAGGGACCATAGGATTAAGGACTTGCCCGAAACGCTACGCGTATTAGTGGCTGTACAAGAATGTAACAACTCTTGTATATATCTCAAAAAAAAAAAAAAAAAAAAAAAAAAAAAAAATACAGTATAGGGATAATTATAATTACTGTATAATGATTTAGGGTATACTTTATATAAGTAAAAAAGCCCTAATCTAGTCCCTAATCATCAAAACAACCTAAAGAAACAAGGAAAATAGAGTTTGAAATCTGAGAAAACATAAACCCAAAAAATTCAGTCCCAAGTTCTGAGAGTTGTAACTGATTTATTTGTTGACCAATTTAATTCTGGCTTCACATAGTTAGGGATGAGTATGCATGCTATAGAGGCACCAGCTCTATATCCACTATGTGGACACTTCTTACTACTATTCTTTTTTGTGCGTCGGACAGGTGCTTGCATCTCTTTATTATTGCACTATCCATCAGTTCCAGTTAATAGAAGCTGTTCCCTTTATCAACAAAATGTTCTTTTTTTTTTTTTAAATATTCGTCTAAAATAAATTTCTGAAAATATTTTGATGAAAGTTTCACGAAGCTGAAGCCAATAAGTTGGAGATTTGTTTAACATTTTTAAGTAATTTTTACATAATTCGAATATTTTTCAAATTTTACCTACTTCAATGTCACACATCATATGGCGTTTTGTGCAGTTTAAGGGTTAACAGCTACCTCATGATCTACCCTGTGCCTTTAACAACTACCATCTCATGATCTACCCCACATATTCAACAGATACCTCACACTCTACCCCGCATCTTCAACCGGTGCATTTTCAAATGCTTACTCTAATAATTTGATGCTTGTGCTTCTTGGCTGTCTCCGGTTGGTGTTGAACGGCAGCGTGCGGCTTGATCTTGGCTCCGCTCGAGGGTCGGGAGACAGCAGTCTTATCCCCCTGACTACTGTCCTCTTGGCCCGTAACAATAATCTGTAAGATGTAAAAGCACAGAGGTGAGATCTGTAAGGTTACAGAGGTGAGATCCGTAAGATTACTGAGGTGAGATCTGTACAATGAAAGCTTACGGAGGTGAGATTTGTAAGATGTAAGTTTACAGAGGTGAAATCTGTACAATGTAAGCTTACGGAGGTGAGATTTGTAAGATGTAAGTTTACAGAGGTGAGATCAAAGTGGCCAGATTCTGATTTGACTGTAATGGACATACATAAACTTCCCGTCAACTAACGCGTCCCGTTTTTAATGGAATTGACCAATCTGTTAATAATACAATCAATTGGAGCCGTGATGAGGATTCGAACCTATGTATTGGGTATTCCCAGAGGCACGCTCATCTGTGGATTTTCTTATTGATTTATCATGATAATATGATTTCTCTGTGTCCTATGCATCCCCCTAGATAGGTTAGGAGAGTTGCTTGAGTTAATACATTTCTGGTTAATGGAACAATGGCTTCCTGTCTCCAACAAAACAAATTATTATGTACATGGAAAGTAAAAAAAAAAAAAAGTGTCTTACCCCACCACCCTGTAACAGCTTTTTCCTAAAGTCATCTGAAGGTTTAAGAAATGTGAGCTTCTCATTTCGTTTGTGGTTGATGGGAGGACATTCGACGTGTTGCAGGAATAGGTCATACTCAAACCTGTAATATATACAAGATACTATTACTTAACACTGACCATAAAAGTGTGCTTTAACTTAACAAACAGTATTATATGGTGAACAGAGCCAATAACACTCAGTTACAATTCTTTAAAACCCTTTCTATCACTGACAACAACATTGGACTTACTGGGCTTTACGAGTATCTTCGGCACTATTGGTTTTAAAGTAGATTTCAATGGGAAGATTGAAGCTGCCGTACCCTTTCTCGCATACTTTATATGGCGGGAACTTTACGACTGGAAATATTGAAAACATTAGTGAATACAGCTTGGAAAAGCTTCATATTTGAGAACAAATTCATACATTCACTTTCTAAAACAGGCTGTTAAAAAAATTGTATTGTATTTCACTGTACTACAGCATTGAAGGAAATACTATACTGTATAGTCAATACTTCATATTTCTAAATGCTTAATTTGAAGACAAAAACATCTATAATGATATTTATTTTAACTGGCCAAACTCAGAACAATCTTAATGGTGCTGAAAATTTAAACTATTTAAAAAATAGTGTTGAAAATTTATCAGTAGGCCTATTCAAAGACTTTTATATTCTCAGCAGAAATACTGCAACTAACAGTAAGAATATATTTTTCTATAATACTGTACTGTATATTGGAACTTTTATAAATTAAATTTAATTATACAGTGTATGTGGCATATGATCAGTAATGATTCCAGATTCTTACATTATACAGCCCACTACATGTACACCGTGTACAGCCCACTACATGTACACCGTGTACAGCCCACTACATGTACACCATGTACAGGCCACTACATGTACACCATGTACAGCCACTACATGTACACCATGTACAGCCCACTACATGTACACCGTGTACAGCCCACTACATGTACACCATGTACAGGCCACTACATGTACACCATGTACAGCCCACTACATGTACACCATGTACAGCCCACTACATGTACACCATGTACAGCCCACTACATGTACACCGTGTACAGCCCACTACATGTACACCATGTACAGGCCACTACATGTACACCGTGTACAGCCCACTACATGTACACCATGTACAGCCCACTACATGTACACCATGTACAGCCCACTACATGTACACCATGTACAGCCCACTACATGTACACCATGTACAGCCCACTACATGTACACCATGTACAGGCCACTACATGTACACCATGTACAGCCCACTACATGTACATGTACACCATGTACAGCCCACTACATGTACACCATGTACAGCCCACTACATGTACACCATGTACAGGCCACTACATGTACACCATGTACAGCCCACTACATGTACACCATGTACAGCCCACTACATGTACACCATGTACAGGCCACTACATGTACACCATGTACAGCCCACTACATGTACACCATGTACAGGCCACTACATGTACACCATGTACAGCCCACTACATGTACACCATGTACAGGCCACTACATGTACACCATGTACAGCCCACTACATGTACACCATGTACAGGCCACTACATGTACACCATGTACAGCCCACTACATGTACACCATGTACAGCTCACAACACATACACCATATAAAGCCCATTACATGTACAGCCTACTACAGTTACACCACACAGCCTACTACACTTATACCATGTACTGTACAGCCTACTACAGTTACACCACACAGCCTACTACACTTATACCATGTACTGTACAGCCTACTACAGTTACACCACACACAGCCTACTACACTTATACCATGTACTGTACAGCGTACTACAGTTACACCACACAGCCTACTACACTTATACCATGTACTGTACAGCCTACTACATTTGTACCATATACTGTACAGCCTACCAAACTTGTACCATATACTGTACAGCCTACTACAGTTACACCACACAGCCTACTACACCTTCACAATATACAACTCACAACACTTTTCAGCTTCCATACTGTCCCTTCTATCATCCAAAATAACTGAATACATGTAACCCAATTTCATCCTATATAAACTTTATATTTACTTATTTACAGACCTCTTTTAGGCTTTGAAAAACTCTTATGAAGAGTAAATACAATCTTTTCGATAAATGCATCAATACGAGACCCGTTGGTCCCGTGGACGAACACCTCCCAGTCGTGTGTGAACACTTCATTTCCTCGCTGCTGCCGCACAGTTGCCCGGTGACCCAGTTCGAGCGTCACTACAACATTCTGAAAATATAATTCGTTCTAAAGAATAACAGTCCATTGTAGTTGTGTAGGACCATGAATTTTGGAAAAATTCAATGCTAACAATGCTAACATTTCGTCTCTGGTAAATACTGGGTAAATACTATAGTTTGGAAACCGGATTGTTGATTTATGGAACAGGTAAGGTAATTATCAGGAGAGAGCACTAAGCCATTTAAACTATATAGCACTTGACTGGTTACCGGGGTAACATAATAGACATGGAATCGATGGAATGTTTCAAGCATAGGTTAGACATATATATATATATGAATAAGTTGGGTGGATATAAGTAGTAGCTGCCTTATATGGGTCAATAGACCTTCTGCAGTTTCCTTAATTCTATGTTCTTAGGTATTATCAACTGGTGTTAGCCTAGCTGTGTATTTAAGTATAGTAATGATTACAATAAAGAGATTTGATGAATATCATTGATGGTTTTGGAACCAAGCATTTCTAATGTGTTGGTTTAATATTCACATAACTTGATTTTTCTTTTTAAATTATTTATTTATTTATTTATATACAAGAAGGTACATTGGGTTAGAGAGAATACATAGCATAGTATTTACAATCTTGTAAAGCCACTAGTACGCGCAGCATTTCGGGCAGCTAATTAAACACCAAACCTTCTACAACTTGATGCCCACCACACACACCTGCATAATCCCAACTTACAGCTATTCAATGTCACCAAGACAACTTAATTTAATAACACACGTCCCACAAAACACATCATGACAGCAAGAGAGGTAGAGTTCACAGCTAGTTAAAACCACGAGAGAGGAATTTCAAATTCCTCTCCCCACTCTGCAGCTGCACAACGAGTCCAAGACAACTTGGTTTAACTACAATCATCCCACAAAAGACATGATTACAGCAGGACAACCAGAGAGTTCACTGCTGGGAGGCCCTCTGACATACTAGTCTCGCCCCTCTTCAGGCTCTCAAAACCCGTCTCCTCCTCCTCACAGCCACCTTCCGCGGCTCCGCCACCCACACACGGCTTACCTTGGATGACATGACGAGCCGCTGGTGGCGCTCAACATGCAGGTAGTGATGCAAACGAACTGGGATGAGTTTAGCACCGCAATCGATCTCCTGCGGCCGACAACTGCCTCCCGGAGGGTCGGAGCCTTCGGTCCGGCTCACGACCCGGCGCTCACCTCACTTAACTAACCCCAAAATAACCTTAAATTTTCAAGAAAACTAATAAATTAGCTCTTTACCTAATATATTTTAAACAAACATCTTCTTTATATATTACATTTGTAATCATATTTTGTCTTTATTTACATTTATGTAATGTGGGAATAACAGTTCACAGATTTTATTTCCGAGTTACAAAATGTTTGTTATTACCTTATTATTTTTATTACAGTCAAATGTATGGCATTTAATGTAGACCAAAAGCAATCATATTTTAAGTATATTAATTAAACAGGTATTAAATTTAAATTTATGTAAATTATCTTGTCTAAGAACGAGTTTTTAGAGTTGCTATGAAAGAAGGAAATAAAGTCCCGTCAGGAATGTAAACAAGAAGCTAGTGCATCAGCGGCCCTGGAGATAACGCTCTGGTAAATCACCTGCCTCCTGCCCTCCTGCGACCTGGCATCTTATTTCCTGCCTAATTTCCATCTGGTCTCCTATTTTCTGGATAATTTTGACCTGGTCGTATATATCCTGGTCCCTGGTCTCCTGTGTCCTGGCATCCTCGGACATAATTCCCTGGTATCTATCTCAGGGAAAAGCCTAGTCCCCTACGACCTGGCCTTCTGGGTGACGGGACTTCTAACTTGCAATCTGATCTAAACTCTAGCATGTAATCTGGTCTCTATGTCCTGGCCACCCAACACCCTGATGCTCTGGTCTGTATGGTAGACTGTGACCAGGTCTCCTTCATCCTGGCCTCCATCCTGGTCAAAGTTTTAGATCTCGTGCAAAGGGTTTAAATCTTGGCCTCGTGTGACCTTGTCTCCTGTATTCTTGCCTGCAACCTGACATGCTATTCACACCATCTCCTCTAAACAGGTAAATCATTTCTTATTCAAAAATAGAGTAGCAAAAATATAGAACAGCTTATCAAGTGATATAATTCAAAATAAAGTAAACTTTGTATAAATTTAAAATTAGGTTAGACAAGTACTTTTCCATATAAATGTCTTATAATGTTGTACCACCAAAAGTTTTCTGTAAACAAGCAAACTTATTTGGATCTAATGCTCTTTTCCTGCTTAGGGTTCTTCATAAACCTGCAACCCTAAATTAGTTTAATTCCTGGTGTGCATAAAAAACTAATTTAGATCATTATACTTTGCCCATAATGAGGTGAAGGAATGTTGATGATGTCATATTCTGAGATAATTTTATAGTTTCTTTTTTTGTTTTTTAGGGATATTCCTGCGCAGGCCCTAAGCCTCTGGCTGGTCCACTAAGTGTTGCTTGTTTCTGTTTTACTTGGGCGGAGTATGAGTATTTATGACTCATATGGTCGCTTCAGTACGACCTTCAGTTCGGCTTCAGTAAGATTTTGTCCCATGTGTTTAACAACTTCTTCTCCTTTGTTGAATCTAAGTTGAAATCTTAATGGGTTTGTAACTCAGCACTGTATTAGATAATGTTCCATTGGTCTGTCGGGCATTTCTCCACAGTGCTGACATTTCCTCTCATCTTCTGGAACCTGTAAGCCTATTTCCCATGCACATGGGTATCCAAGCCTGATGCGGTGTAAGTGTAGTTGTTTATACTGTAATAGATTTCTTCTCATCACTAATATCTTTGAGATCCATAAATATCGTTAATTCTGGATAGTATCAATGGTTCCCAGCATGGGCATCAGGTCCTGGGTGTACAACGGGGTTCGTTCTCGACTCACTGTTGAGAATTCTAGGTTCAACTTAGGTTTTCAGGATTTTTTCCAAAATGGCAAATGATTGCCAGAAGCCTCTAATGTTGAATGATGTTTACAAAGAATTGTTAGGACTTTGGAAAATTGCAGGACACATCTAGACTTCCAGAGGCAATTGGTGCACCAGCCCCAATCATTTGAGGGTGACAAGAGCAGTTTAACACTATTGCGCTCCCGGCAGAAGGCTCTTTAACTTACCCTTGTGCGCCGAGCATTTCGGGCGACCGCGCGGCGACACTGAAATGTTTATACTCTTTTCGGTCTGCTGACCTTAATTTTCCATGTATGTATTTAATTTTGGTATCAATTCGTTCGCAAGAGAATGCTCTAGAGGAATATATATACTGTATATAAAAAATTTCACCAAAGCCGACATGAGACCCGCACCAAATAAAAAACTATTGCGATCGTTAGCCGTGAGTGCCAAACAGCGATGAAATGTTTATGCTCTTTTCAGGTTTGTCAACTCCAGAATTGCTCTACGTCGTTAATTTTGGTATCACTGTGATCGCAATAAAATTCTGTACACAGACATATGAATATAAAGTAAAAGACATGAGCGCATCCCACCCACAAGACCGTGGGAAGTTGCCCAAGGGTTACCCGCTACCGCACGCCCAACTGCACTTCGGCTACACCCTTACTGAAAAGTTTATACGCTTTTCATGTTTATTACTGTAATTTTTTATGTACGTGTTTCATTTTGTTATCAATGTGTTCTCAATGAAATGTTCTAGAGGAACATACGTATAACATGTCACCAAAGCTAACGTGATGCCGGCACCAAATAAAAAACTAAGTCGTTTGTTAGCCGTGCACGCCAAACAGCACGAACATGTTGCTACTCTTTTCAGGTTTATCAAGTCCAAACTTGTTTGACATCGTTCTTTTTTGTATCACTGTGATCACAATAAAATTTCCTTCACAGACATATGCATATAAATTAGACAACATGGGCGCGCCTCACCTGCAACGACCCCTAAAGTCGCCGAAGCCTTAACCGCTAGAGCACACTTATTGCCACACCCGCTACACCGAATACACCAGACAAACACATACAGTTTGCTTACAGAAGTTTTTGTGCAACATTGTTCATTGTGGTATCAAACTATTCGCAATAAAATGCTCTAAATAGAAAGACAAATATAAGCAATAACAACTGCACTATATATAAGCAATACCAATAACAAAGTATAAAGACTAAAGTTAGCCAAGTTACCCGTGAGCGCACAAAATCCTTAAAGTGTATATACTCATTTCAGTTTTCTCACCTTATTTCTCGTGCTACATCGTTCGTATTGGTATCATTGTGTTCACAATAGAATTCTCTATAGGGGTATATGCATAATAGATCTTAATAACAGCCCGGAGTGAGTCCCACAGGGTCGATGGGTCAATGACACCTTTGACCCGGAATCCTGCGAGTGGGTTTTCCTTGCTGGTGCTTCAATTCGCCCAGTCCACTGATACGGATAATCGGGTGCCGGCAGCTTTGGCGTTGCATGCAAGGTTTTGGTTGCTGCTTGGTTGGTTCAGCTGGGGTTGCATAATTTTTTATGTCTGGTGGTGACTCATCACCGCAATCCATGAGTTACCTGTTCTGCCCTGGTTTATGCGTTGTGGGTTGATCCAGTTTCTTTGGCCCCCTGTTCCAAGGCTTGTATTTTCCCGATCATCTGCAGTGTCATTAAATCTAGCCAGCCTGTGGTCTACACTTTGACCCCACGATGTTTGCAAGTATGCCACCTTGATGGTAGTTTTCTCCAACATGTCTTGGGCTGATATTCAGGCTCAGCTGGTTTTGGCAGCCTGGTATTTCGGTAACATTACTGATCCCAGTCAGTCGTGTGTTGCTTGGAGTCTCCCCTTCGTCATAGTACCTGCTGCTTTTCCTCTTCCCTGGTCTGTCCCATGTTTCTGTTCTCCATGGTTAGTTAGATTGGAGCAACAAGGGACCTCCCCCAGAAACTAAACATGGAATATAATGAAATGTCTTGTTCTGGTAGAGTCCTGGTGGCTATGTAATTCCCTCTGTTCCCTCCAGTTTTATTGGTTCATCGGTGGGTTGTTAATCAGCTCCAGAACTGATCAGGGGAACTGGCTGTGGGCTGGAACTTGCCTGGTGGTGGCTGTTGATACTAATGGGTTCAAGCTAGTCTTGAGTGAATCTATGTTTTCCTTTGAATCGTCTGTGGAGTTATTTGGTAGTTTTGAGGCTTTGTTTTCTTTGTGCCTTACAGTTGTCTGTAAAGTTTTGCTGACATTCATGATGCTTTTTTCTGGTGAATTAGATTAAGAGGAGGGGCCAGGTTCTGGTTCTGGTCCCTGGTAGGCCAAACAGAGCTCCTGTGACTGATGTGACCCATTACAATGGAGCAATCTCAGCGAGATAGCTTCAAGGAGCTACCTGGGCTCTACCAGAAAGAGACATTTCAATATGTTTGACACTTGGTTTATTATAATTTTAATCACAGGAATGTCTGGAGCAGGGCCTGAAGCAGCTGCTGTCCAAGTTCTGACCAGGGCTGTACAGCTTGACAATGAAAAAAAGTTTGCCGAGGCACTGGCGTGTTACGAACAAGGAATAAGACTATTGCTACAGGCAGCCAAAGGTACACCTTTTTGAAATATTTATTTTTAAAGTTCTGCTAAACATGTAACTGAATGAGATACAGTACAATAATAATGGAATTTCTGAGCTTAATTATTCAGCCACCACCAGAGGTATACAGCATATTGTCTGTTGATTCACTTTGCATCCCCAGAATTAAGAAATATTTAGAGATACAACTAGTGACATTACCACAGGGACTATGGCATCACTGCAGGATCATTTATTGTCTTAATGAGGTATTAGAGTCAATGTTAATCCAGTCAGAATAATATATACTGTTGTGAGAAAATTTTGGAGCGATATGGAAGGACCACACTTATGCCTCTGGCCTCCCCAGACACATGCATTACCGATACATCCATGATGTATTGCTCCCAAATGTTCTCATTGATATACTGTACTGTATCACATTACACTATTGTGATATCACTTAGCATATACGTACTGTAATCTTGAGGGTTGCTCATAAGCCAAAGTTTCACTGTGCCTCATTGATATCACTCGCACGACCATTATTGGGAAGCTCCTTCTAACCTAATGACCAGTCACAACAAATGCTCACTTCTCATCACCCTCACCAGGTGGATGTAATACCTTGACTCAATTTCTAGACACACTCACTGACCTAATGCACATCCTGAATGTGCAGGTTGGAACGGTTGTCAGTTAAAGTTGGACCCAACACGTGGTCACCAGAGATGGTGGCCAATATGTATATATAGGTCAACAATATACTGTGTAACAGCGAAGGAAATTCTTTTATCATTCTCTCCCACTTATTTTCCTCTACCTCCCTCTCTTCCTCCTCAATTCCTTAATTCTCTCCCTCTCTTAGCCCCCCCCCCTTCCTCCATTCCCAGACTACATGTCACAACAGGAAGAGAGCCATTTATATGTTAGGTATGGGTCAACTTGTGCAATTAAAAGGTATTAGCAAGGTCCCTCCAGAGCCCATGTTTTAACTTGTCGGCTTCTCTCTCTACCTCTGGGGCTGGTCTCTTCCCTCTTTGGAGGTCCTCCTCAGTGGTTGGGCTTAGACCTGGGCTGTCAGCGTGATAAATTTTGGTCCAGGGCTCTGGTGCAGCAGGCACCATGTTCTCATGGGAAACTGAGTGCCCGTGGCCCTTAGCCATGTCTCAGCTATGCCTTGGCCCTGTGATTGGCTCTTGAGAGGCTGTAGGTGTGATTAGAGGGCCATAGAGGCAGAGTTTATAGCAAGGATGTTGTGACACACTTAGAAGGAAGTCAGTGTGATTTGGGCAGAGTATTGGAGTTGGGTTGCCAAGGGAAGTATCCTGGCACTTACCACCTTGGCCAGAGAGCAGAGTTTAAGGTAATTATTCCCCCTGAGTCTCTAATTGTTGGTTGATTATCACATTGTCTTTTCCTTTTGGGGTAAGAATATTTAGAATAAAATATAATTGTTTTTAATTAATAATTATATTTTTAAAGTTTCATTTGGCATTTTAGTTAAATTGTCCTTGTCTTTAATTTTGAGTATATCACTTGGAGCTCCTTTGATTCTTGGCCTTATTCAATGATTCTCCAAGTTCAGTAATAATTAAGATCAGTAAATTAACCATCAACCAGTTGCAGAGATTAATAATAATAATAAATTAAATGGTCTCAGGTAATTATCAAAAGAACGTTCTAAGTTTTATTTGTTAATGTCATACTACTTATTTTCCGTCGGGTCATACTTCCGGTAATTATCAAACATACGGTAACTAACAATGTGCCGAGATGTCAGAGGGATTGGGGCACAAGTATAATTGAAGGATCATGCATATAATTACTCTTTTGTCATAACATTCAGACAGTGTTTTCCACACGGCAACCCAACCACACTCCCGTGGGTGGCTGTGTCTTCATCTTATGGTTTTCTGTGTATATTACATAGTGTTAAAATAAATATAAGTCAATATTACATAGTGTTAAAATAAATATAAGTCAAGCTTATCCAATATTACATTGGGTAGCCAATGTTATAACTGTACTTGCTTATGAAAACTTGATTCATAAGTTTACCGATGTAAACTTGTTTCCTCTCATGACCTCCCTAGTTGTCATAATGCATTATTCATCCATGCTTTCAGAGGTACAGGATGACAGTAAACGCACCCACTTCCGAAAAAAGACAGAGGAGTATTTGTCTCGAGCTGAGGCAATGAAGGAGGCAGCAGACAAACAACGCACCATTGGACGCAATCATAAACAGGTATGGTACGCTAACTTTGGACAGTATATTGGAAATGCATTGTATAAAAACACAGCATTATTATATAATGATTGAAAAATATACGAGTGATTTTTTCAGCCTTTAAGAAAATGTCAAATGCAATATATGTACTGCAGTACTGTATATTGTATTGTAAGTATTGCAATATATTGCATTTCACAATATTGATATTTACAAAGTATTTACAAAGGTACTATACTGATGGTAAAATCCCATGAAAAGAAAAGACAATTTATCTACTAATAATAATACATGTAGTATCAGTTTTACAATATTAAAACTTAGTTGTTCTCCAAGTAAGAAGTCTTGGGGGGGATGTTCTACTGATTCATTAGCAGGTGCTGAAGTGGGCAGTAAACTAATATTTCAGTTTTGAAATATCCCTGTACCATAACCACAAGGAAAGAATGTTATGAAGCTCCTTTACATGTGTATGGTATACTGTCCTTAATTATCAATGGAGTACAGGTACCTAAAGTAGATTTGTTCTAGTAATCATTGCAGATATAATAGTGCACTGTAACCTGATGTACTACAGGAAATTGAGGAATCATATCAAGTTTGTAAACAAATGCAGCACTAAGTCGATGCATGGAAACATCATGGGGGAAAATTTCAAAAAGGTCATTATTTAACTCGTACAAAGATATGTGCCAATAAAGAGAAAGAAAAGAAAAGAGAGGCAACAAGATGGATGACACAAAGACCCTAGGACCCTAGGGAGCCTAGGAACCCTAGGACCCTAGGGAGCCTAGGAACTCTAGGACCCTAGGGAGCCTAGGAACCCTAGGACCCTAGGGAGCCTAGGATTCTGCAATATAAGATCACACCGTATATTTTTCTGTATTAAATTCTGTATTTCTGCTCTTGTATTGCCTCCAGAATGATATCTAGCAACTCTGAAATATTCTGTACTACAGACTATGCTACAATATACAGCTTTCTGGGCTTAGCATTTCCTTTTAATAATACCTTACTGTAATACAGGCAGTTCCCCAATTATGAATGAGTTACGTTCTGATACTGTGTTTGTAAAGCATTTGTTTGGAACGCGGATCGAGATTTTCCATAGGTGCATTCTATAATGGGAGATGCATTTCCAGGCCACCAAAAATCATCGCAAAAACAATGTTTTTGGAACATATAATATAAAAAACCACAACATTATCTTGAATGATGGATTTACTCCTGCTTGTCAAAGTTACTGTAGCTGTTTTTGAAGAGTTAATTGGTATAATTACATGAATAAATAAATGAATAAATGAGGCCATTTTGTTATTGCCCTCACGAGTAAATGCCTCCGCACCCCACCAACACAATCAAATCATGTGAGTGTGGGTCACCAAGGACTTGAGGCCACTGGGTATCAGGAGTGTATCACACACACCCTGCCACCCACCCACACATTTACACCCCCCCCCCCCCACTCCCACCCTCCAATATTTTCTCATGAAACATGTTGTGGTTTCATTGTGCATCATCGCAGCTTAACCAGCACCACCACCACACTCCAGCAGTAATCCATAACCCCTCACTCAGGAAAAACACTCTGAATATAGGTAGAGTTGATGAAAGTGGAGTTGAAGATCTGGCAGGGGCAGTGGAAACCTTGGATAGAAATAAACGTAGAAACAACCTCATCATAAGGAACCTAACAAAAGTAGAGGGTAAGAATGACTAGGAAATCGCTGAAGAAATTATAGTGAAATTGATAGGAAGCGAGGAAGATCTTAGTCTAACCAATGTGGAGAGGTTAGATAAGCCCAAAGCGAGTATAGTATGCATAACCGTGGTAAACTTTGAACATACAGTAGAAGGAAGATACTAACCAGTGCGCATAACCTAAAAGATCTTGACGGGTAGAACCATGTCTATATCTCCCCAGACCACACAGTTGAACAGAAAAAAAATACAGAGTACTAAAAGGAAAGCTAAAGGAGTTAAGGAACTTAGGTGCATGCAAGTGTTCAAAGCTAGTGATCAGGGGAGGACGGATGATCAAGATAGTAGATGGAGAGAACATAGTCCTCCACCCAGCCAGACAGAACTAACATTATATATCTCAGAAAACAAACAGGCATAAAACTGATGAACGAACAGTGAGAATGAACAGCATAATAATGTACAGAATCTAGGAGTTATCACTCAGACCAATAGGAACAACGAAAGAAATTTAAAGTGCTTCTACACTAATACCAGAAGCCTGGTAAATAAATTTGAAGCAGTGTGCATTTGCTGATGCAGCGACTCCAGACATCATTGGCATAAGTGAAACATGGGGACGAGAGAACATTATCCAAGGGTACTTCCACCTCCCAGGGTATTATCCACTGTTCAGAAAGGACAGAACAACAAGAGCAGGTGGTGTACTGATTTATGTGAAAGAGGACCTGAATGTGACCACTAATGAGGAACTGCGGCAAACACTGAATGTGACCACTAATGAGGAACTGCAGCAAACACTGAATGTGACCACTAATGAGGAACTGCAGCAAACACTGAATGTGACCACTAATGAGGAACTGCAGCAAATACTGAATGCGACCACTAATGAGGAACTGCAGCAAACACTGAATGCGACCACTAATGAGGAACTGCAGCAAACACTGAATGCAACCACTAATGAGGAACTGCAGCAAACACTGAATGCGACCACTAATGAGGAACTGCAGCAAACACTGAATGCAACCACTAATGAGGAACTGCAGCAAACACTGAATGCGACCACTAATGAGGAACTGCAGCAAACACTGAATGCGACCACTAATGAGGAGAATCGCAGCAAATACTGAATGAATAGTTTACATCAGTGTTCACACTAGAACGATTGAATGACATCCCATCACCCACATAAATGTTTGAAGAAGGTGAAGAGAATGAATTAAGAGATATACCCATTACATGTAACTCAAACAGGAAGAGCATTGACAAACTAAAAGACTCAAAAGCCCCAGGTGTGGATGGAGTTCAATCCAAAGTCATAAAGGAACTGGCAGATGCACTATGCATACCACTGAAACTCCTTTTCAGAAAATTCCTGGACCAAGGGATAGTCCCTCTGGATTGGAAATATGCAAATTTTATGCCCATTTTCGAAAAAGACAGAAAGAGCTCAGCAGAAAACTACCGTCTGATCAACTTGACATCACACATCTGCAAGCTCGTGGAGAGTATCCTAAGGGAGGGAATCATACAACATCTTACAGAGAACAATCTTGCAAAAGTAACGCACCATGGGTTTGTTAAAAATAGATCCTGCTCACTAACCTGCTCACATTTTTGGAAACTGTAACCGGCTATTCAGACAATGGACTTCCAGTAGATGTAGCTTACATGGACTTTGCTAAAGTTTTTGACAAGGTACCACATGAGAGACTGACAAGGAAATTACAGGCACATGGAATAAATGGGAGAATACTGCAATGGTTAAAACATAGAAAACAAAGGGTCGTGCTAAATGGGAATGAATCTGACTGGGGAAATGTGCTAAGTCGGGTGCCACAGGGGTCCATTATGGGGCCCACCCTGTTTGTCATATACATCAGTGACATAGATGACAATATTACAAATCACATCATCAAATTTGCAGATGACACTAAGATCTATGGTAAAGTGGGAAGTGAAAGTGATATTGAGACCTTACAAAGAGATCTGCATGAACTCCACAAATGGTCAGATGACTGGCAAAGGCACTTTAATGTTGATAAATGCAAGACCTTATGTGTGAGGCATAACAATCCACATCACAACTACCAAATTGACAGCACTATCTTACAGCTGATAGATGAAAAGGACCTTGAAATCAGAATCCATCATTCACTAAAAGTTGCACAACAAGTGGGAGTGGTAGTAAAAAAAAAAAAGCAAACCAAACCTTGGGAATAATCAAGCGTGCCTTTACCTTCAAGGAAAAGAAAGCAGTCATTCAATTGTATAAGTCTCTGGTGCACCCCCACCTGGATTGTTGCATCCAGGCATGGAGACATCTTCAGAAAGACATAGTTGCTCTGGAGAAGGTGCAACACCGGGCAATAAAAATCATACCAGAGCTTAGTCATCTCTCGTATCAGGAATGGTTCCACTGGGCTAACAAACAAAACTGCAGACCAGGCATGATAGGGCAGATCTCATAGAAACCTTCAAAATACTAAACAATTTGGATGAAGGAGATCCCGACACTTTCTTCAAAAGATCAGATGTAACACGAACAAGGAGCAACAGATTCAAGCTCAACAAGCCCCAATGTAGGACAGAAAACAGGAGATGCTTTTTCGCCCATAGGGTTGTAAACCTGTGAAACCGCTTTCCCACTGAAGTTGTAAATGCCAAAACTGTGCTGGGTTTTAAAATACAGCTGGAAAAGATCGTCAGGGCAAATAGGGGGACCTTTGACAAGTCGCCAGCTTCCTGTCCTCGGCGAGGCCACTGGTATTAGTGGCCCTCGGGTAAATTCTGGTAATCCCACCACTTCATAAAATTATGTGTAAATTTACTTAAATTTAAGATAATAATTTTCTCTTTTGGTCTTTGTAGATCCAGATAGATGCTGGGGCAATTGGTTATAGCTACGAGGCCATATTTGGACCACTAATTGACAAAACTCTCTCATGTGTTGTTGTGGAGGATGCTTACATACGCTCTACTCATCAGGTAAAAAGAAAAGAGTATTACCATTTATATGTACATGTACAGTATCTGTGTGTGTTAGATTAGTAAAGTAATTGACTGCAGGAGTGGAACTCTGCTTGTGGTGGCCCATTAGTTATGGTTTTATTCCCCAAATGTTGAGATGGTTTAAAATGTAAAGTTCCTCCTCATTCACATTTAAAAATGTAAACTTTCCTCCTCAAAGTTTCCCTTTGAGGAGGAAAGTTGGCCCAGTTTTAGTCATTTTAAATTGTGGACCCCTGTTCCATATACGGATAGTTGACAAAAAATTATTGACTTATTTTTCATATCCTTGTATATTCTTGCATGATACTGTACTTAATTGTGTGTTATTGCCTACTTGTAGTTACAGGTCAAGAGCTGTGCTCGTAATGTCCAAGCTTTCAGGTATATTTTTTCATAAAAAGCTTCAGTAGACCTCATTGAAGTTTATTGCAACCATCCACAATTTTGTTGGTAAAATGTACCAAGTACTACTGTACCTGTTTTTCTCTGTCTTTTTCTACAGTTTACAAAGAAATTCACTAGTTCTGCTATGCTTCTCTGGGTGATCATAGTCAGGGCTTCTACTCTCGGCTTTTAAAGTGTACATATATTATTTTTGTTCTTTCAGATTTATAATTTCCTCCAGTTTTGTGAGCTGTTGGTTCATAAAGCCGAGTGTCTGAAGTCTATTACCCTCCAGACGACACGTGACCCAGCAGATCACAAGTGAGTGTCTACAGTTTATTATGCTCTAAATGACACGTGACGCATCACATCACAGGTGAGTATCTACAGTTTATTATGCTCTAAATGACACGTGACGCATCACATCACAGGTGAGTATCTACAGTTTATTATGCTCTAAATGACACGTGACCCAGCAGATCACAGGTGAGTATCTACAGTTTATTATGCTCTAAATGACACGTGACCCATCACATCACAGGTGAGTATCTACAGTTTATTATGCTCTAAATGACACTTGACCCATCACATCACAGGTGAGTATCTACAGTTTATTATGCTCTAAATGACACTTGACCCATCACATCACAGGTGAGTATCTACAGTTTATTATGCTCTAAATGACACGTGACCCATCACATCACAGGTGAGTATCTACAGTTTATTATGCTCTAAATGACACGTGACCCATCACATCACAGGTGAGTATCTACAGTTTATTATGCTCTAAATGACACGTGACCCATCACATCACAGGTGAGTGTCTACAGTTTATTATGCTCTAAATGACACGTGACCCATCACATCACAGGTGAGTATCTACAGTTTATTATGCTCTAAATGACACGTGACGCATCACATCACAGGTGAGTGTCTACAGTTTATTATGCTCTAAATGACACAGGACCCAGCAGGCGATGGGTAATTGCATTTTGACTGCAGCTTTTCAGTTTCATTGCATTCGTTTATATAATATTATAGTCCATTTCTGTTTTAAGAAAAACCAAGAGCTCTTCATTGAACCTGCAAAGATATTCATCAGTTATATTCTGTTCCCAGTTAATAGATGCAAATTAGATTTATAATTACTATTTGTCTTGGTCAGGAAGTTTGCACTTAGACTTACTGAGGTCCCCTGAGGACAACTACTAACCTTCTCCAAGATGCAGCACACAACAGTTGCCTAATTCTTGCCTACCTCTTTACTGCTAGGTGAATAGAGGAATTGGGTGAAAGGAGATATGCCCAACTCATTATACATTTATTGAAGGTTATGTTTTAATGGTTTTGTAGGGGAAATCATATGATTTTTGTCCATGTAAATACAATATGTGTACAGCTGTTGTAAAAAACGTGCATCCTATCCATCAGAAAATATGTTAATCAGCTTGTCTTCTTCACAACCTTTATAAATTTAATCAATTGCATGTTGATCAATAATCCAACCTTCTCCCCAACATTTGCTTGATATATATGATAGGACCCATTATGATTAGACTGCTTGCCCTTGCCATGCATCATCTAGCTCGTAAATGACAAATCCTGTGTATTATCAACAGAACGCAACATTCTCGGCTGGAGGAAATCCGACAATCACTTTGGAAGCACAACATTACGCTAACTGTTGAGTATTCTGACACAATTCATGACAGAGAAATCAGGTGAGCCGCATGTTGTGAAGTATTAGTTGAGAGATAAAGCTGGCTTAGTGACTAAACTGACTTATAGCAATGTTCCTTAGAGCCATTGCTCACATGTAAAACAAATAATTGAAGAGGTTATGAAATTTTATTTTGTTTTGTTTAGCCGTAGTCAATAAGTGTTTTGCTTTATCAATTGTCACGGGTGACCTATTCCTAAACAAAAAATCACTTCATTGAATGTAATGAAATGCTTCTTTCTGGAGGAGTCTCAGTAGCTCCCTAAAGCTATCTTGCTAAGATGGTGCCATACCAAGTCTGATCAGTTGTAGAGGTTCTATTTAGCCTACAAGGGAGTAGAGCCAGAACCTGGCTACCTCACAGAGGCACAGGAAGTAAGTGACAATCCACCACCCCGCCAGAAAAAAAACAGCATTGAATGTAATGAAACACCATTTTCTGGCGTTTCAACAACAACAGGAAGCCAACAACGCAGCAACCGACGCAAGGCCCCTGGAGGCCGAACCCAGCGATCGCAAGGGCATCACTTGTTGTGTCTGGTGGTCCAGTGTGGGGGACGGTGCATCATCTATTGTGTCCAGTGATCCACTGTGGGGTGGTGCATGATCTATTGTGTCCAGTGATCCACTGTAGGGTGGTGCATGATCTATTGTGTCCAGTGATCCACTGTGGGGTGGTGCATGATCTATTGTGTCCAGTGATCCACTGTGGGGTGGTGCATGATCTATTGTGTCCAGTGATCCACTATGAGGTGGTGCATCATCTATTGTGTCCAGTGATCCACTGTGAGGTGGTGCATCATCTATTGTGTCCAGTGATCCACTGTGGGGTGGTGCATGATCTATTGTGTCCAGTGATCCACTGTGGGGTGGTGCATGATCTATTGTGTCCAGTGATCCACTGTGGGGTGGTGCATCATCTATTGTGTCCAGTGATCCACTGTGAGGTGGTGCATCATCTATTGTGTCCAGTGATCCACTGTGAGGTGGTGCATCATCTATTGTGTCCAGTGATCCACTGTGGGGTGGTGCATCATCTATTGTGTCCAGTGATCCACTGTGGGGTGGTGCATGATCTATTGTGTCCAGTGATCCACTGTGGGGTGGTGCATCATCTATTGTGTCCAGTGATCCACTGTGGGGTGGTGCATCATCTATTGTGTCCAGTGATCCACTGTGGGGTGGTGCATGATCTATTGTGTCCAGTGATCCACTGTGGGGTGGTGCATCATCTATTGTGTCCAGTGATCCACTGTGGGGTGGTGCATCATCTATTGTGTCCAGTGATCCACTGTGGGGTGGTGCATCATCTATTGTGTCCAGTGATCCACTGTGGGGTGGTGCATCATCTATTGTGTCCAGTGATCCACTGTGGGGTGGTGCATCATCTATTGTGTCCAGTGATCCACTGTGGGGTGGTGCATGATCTATTGTGTCCAGTGATCCACTGTGGGGTGGTGCATGATCTATTGTGTCCAGTGATCCACTGTGGGGTGGTGCATCATCTATTGTGTCCAGTGATCCACTGTGGGGTGGTGCATCATCTATTGTGTCCAGTGATCCACTGTGGGGTGGTGCATCATCTATTGTGTCCAGTGATCCACTGTGGGGTGGTGCATCATCTATTGTGTCCAGTGATCCACTGTGAGGTGGTGCATCATCTATTGTGTCCAGTGATCCACTGTGGGGTGGTGCATCATCTATTGTGTCCAGTGATCCACTGTGGGGTGGTGCATCATCTATTGTGTCCAGTGATCCACTGTGGGGTGGTGCATCATCTATTGTGTCCAGTGATCCACTGTGGGGTGGTGCATGATCTATTGTGTCTGGTGATCCACTGTGGGGTGGTGCATCATCTATTGTGTCCAGTGATCCACTGTGGGGTGGTGCATCATCTATTGTGTCCAGTGATTCACTCTGAGGGTGTGCATCATCTATTGTGTCCAGTGATCCACTGTGGGGTGGTGCATCATCTATTGTGTCCAGTGATCCACTGTGGGGTGGTGCATCATCTATTGTGTCCAGTGATCCACTGTGGGGTGGTGCATCATCTATTGTGTCCAGTGATCCACTGTGGGGTGGTGCATGATCTATTGTGTCCAGTGATCCACTGTGGGGTGGTGCATCATCTATTGTGTCCAGTGATCCACTGTGGGGTGGTGCATGATCTATTGTGTCTGGTGATCCACTGTGGGGTGGTGCATCATCTATTGTGTCCAGTGATTCACTCTGAGGGTGGTGCATTGTCTGTTGCATCCAGTGGTCCACAGGTTGGTGCATCACCTGTTGTGTTTGGTGGTGGCTCTTTGCTGCTACCTGCAGGTCACCATTCTGCCTTGGTGGATGCATTGTAGGTTGACTATTTCATTGGTTCCCCCTGTTCTAAGGCTCATATTTCCCAGGTTATCTGCAGTATCATTAAATATAGCCAGTCTGCAATGTACCATCAGGCTCATGATGTTTACAAATATGTTGTATTGGCCGCAGTCTTCTCCGATGTGTCCTGGGCTGATATTGAAGCTCTGGGGCTTAGGCATTTTAACAGGGTTCTGGTGGCCCAGTAGTTGGTTAATGTTCATAGTCCCAGTTGGTTGTATATTGCTTTAGGCTGTTTCCTGCCTGGATTATCTTCTTCATCCTAGTGCATTCCACCTCTCCTCTTCCTTGGTAGTCCCCTTTTTGTTCTCTGTGGCTTGTTAGCTTTAGGGAGCTACTGGTGAGGCTCCCTCAGAGACCTAGTGTTAAATATAATGAAATACCTCTTTTTAGATGAGCCCCAGTGGCTCCCTGACTCCCTCCCTCCCTACCAGGTTACCGTAGCGATGAACCGATCGATTTTGATCGGTTCAACGTTGAGCTGTTCACCAGGGGCCAGATTCACGAAGCAGTTACACAAGCACTTACGAATGTGTACATCTTTCCTCAATCTTTGATGGCTTTGGATACATTTATTAAACAGTTTACAAGCATGAAAACTTTCCAATTAACTGTTGTTATAAACAGCCTGTTATATAAATAACTGTTATAACAATTTATAACAAACTGTTATAAACAGTTTATTGTTATAAACAGCCTCCTGGTGCTTTGAAGCTCATTAACTGGTTAATAATTGTCAACAAAGCCGCCAAAGTGTGAGAAAAGATGTACAGGTTCGTAAGTGCTTGTGTAACTGCTTCATGAATCTAGCCCCAGCTCCAGAACTGAACAAGGAAAATGGCTGCATGCAGAAGCCAGGCCATTTGGTAGTGGAATTCAGTACTAAGAGTTTCGTGCTAATTTTGAATGTTCTTTGGGAATCATTTGTGGAATTGTTTGACAAGTTATGAGGCTTAGGTCTTTGGTAACCCCTCTAGCTATCTTTAAAACTTCTCCAACTTTCTGGATGCTTTGCTGGTGTGGTGGTAAATTGTCACTCAATCTCTGTGCCTGTGTGAGGTGGGGTCAGGTTTTGGCTCTGGTCCCCGGTAGGACAAACAGAACTCCCGCATGTGATGTGACTCATTTGCATGGAACAATCTCATCGAGATAGCTTCAGGGAGCCACTGGGAATCATCCAGAAAGAGGCATGGCATTATATTCTGTGCTGGCTTTTTGTTAATTAGGTTTGTGAACTATTTTTTGCCATGTACAGCATGATGTAGGGCTTTAAATTAGCCGAGTCTTTTTAAGGATTAAGTGGAGATGCCTTGGCTGGGAAAATACGTCTTTTGAATTTTTTGTTATTCTTATAGTTTTATTTTCTGATCTGCAGGTTTGACAGTGGATGGATCATCAAGATAGGCAGAGGCCTAGACTATTTCAAGAAGGCTGAGGGTCGCTTCTCCCTCGGTTGGTCAGATTACCACTTCCGTCAGTGTCACCAAACAACTATAGACATATTTCACCAACAATCAGTAAAGTGAGGAAGGTTTTTTATCTTAAAACTGAGTAGTTACATCTCTGAAGCACATGTCCAGACACAGTAAAACTGTTGTACATTTTATCTTTACGTCTTTCACAAACTGACAAACAGAATACAGTATACCATTAAAAATCTGGTTTAATTATTATTAAATATAATGCACTGCTCGATGACTGCTTATTAGTGTAGGCTGAAAATGTGTATTAAATTGTATACAGTATATTACAGAAAAGGATTAACAAATCAATTTCTTTCTTGTAGTTTGTGTAATCGTAAAAGGAAACTGCAATAGTGAAAGCTCTAATAGAGTATTTCTTGTAATTATATTGTATTTATGAAGCTACGAAGGAATAGACTATTTTTATCTACGTTTTCTACTGTGTAATAATTGTAAATTTAAGAAATAGGAAAATGCATGCTTCAAGTGTACTGTACTTGAATTTTCACTAATGTTTACTGTACTGTGATATACATAGTTTAAAATTTTTTATTGTGAATAAATATTGAGGCTGTACGATAGAATTGAACCCATCCCCCCCCCCCCCCCCCCTCCCCTTAATCACCTCGGCCACACACACCACCGACGTGCCCGAGGTGATCAGGGATGCGGGTTACCTTCTTTCGTATAGCCTAAATATTTCTTCATAGATTCATCACGTTATTATGATTTTCATTGTGCAGTTCTTGATATGCATAAAACATTCTTGCTATTAATTTCTACTACTTGGAGAAATTACATGTGCAGTGTTATAAAAACATGCAGGGCTAGTCTTTCATTTACTATGATATTGTACCCCAGAGATCCAAGTTTATTTTTTTATAACCAATTTTTGGTTACCTGGTTTTTTGGTTTGGTTACTATGTTCGAGTTGCAAAAGGTTTCATGGATAATGTCACTTGCAAGCGAGACACTACTGCTGGGACTTGCTTGATCTATGCAGTTTTCTATGTTGTCTCTTACTGTAATATGTATTTGAATAAGGTGGCCCAAGAACTGTATTATAGAGTGTATCAGCTGTGGGGATGAGTTTGGCTTACCAAGGACCAGAGTCAGACTCTGGCCTACCCTCACAGAGGCACAGAGAGCAGGTGACACACTGCCACCTCACCGGGAAAGTCGGCAGACCACTGCAGGGTTCAGAGAACTGCACAGCTGTGCTATGAGCTCTTGCTGCATAAGCCAACTGTGGTCGCTCCAGCAGTACTGAAGCTCTCACAGCCAGGAGGGATGCAGATGATTTTTTTGGACTTTCCCGGTAAGAATTCATACTTACCTAGATATCTGGATGAATCTGGTGAGAAGTGGGCTTTATATAATCCAGATAAACAAGAGTAGACAGTATGCAGATGATGAGTCACAATAATGTGCCTGAAGATATGATGACCAAACCACAATGATATGCTGATAAAGATAAAGAAACATTGTCGTTTCTTCATCTTCTGGTGTGTGGTTTGGTCATTAGTAGACAGTATATATAAAATAAAAAGTAGAAGGTTGGCAGTGTTAGCAAAATGTTTTAAGTTTTTTTGTTTTCTAAATATTTTGTTTACAATATTTATATTTTATACTACATTCATGTGATTATTAGTGCCTTAAGATAACACATTTTCATCAATATGTTACAAGCAAGAGTTTATAAAGTGTTTGAGAGTTACTCATAGCTTAGGTGACCTTCCACACGTGCGGTAAAGTCGCCTCATCACTGAAGAAGATTTTATACAATAAACCTTCGTTATTGATTTGATCCACAAATTCTGTACACCTTCATGCTCATTTTGTGGTGTTGATTATTCATTACAGTATTAAGGTTAGAGGTTTGAAAACAAAATGAAATATAAAGAATTTCATTTTTTGTTATAAAAAATGGGTACCTTACCTTGAGGTTACCTTGAGGTGCTTCCGGGGCTTAGCGTCCCTGCGGCCCGGTCGTCGACCAGGCCTCCTGGTTGCCGGACTGATCTACCAGGCTGTTGGACGCGGCTGCTCGCAGCCTGACGTATGAGTCACAGCCTGGTTGATCAGGTATCCTTTGGAGGTGCTTATCCAGTTCTCTCTTGAACACTGTGAGGGGTCGGCCAGTTATGCCAGTTATGGTACAGGTATTGTATTTATTTTTATGCTGCAAAGGTCAGGTATATCCACCAGATTCATAATAATTGGTTCATTATTTTAATACCGCATATTGAATTATGCACCAGTGTTTGAGTATCAAGTTTTAACATTTTCAGTTGAGAGCAATGTTTATACTCTATTATATTTCATGCGTAAAAAGGTTGTAATGGCTACAGCATTAATGGCTCCCTCCCTCCAGGTTGTGGGGGGGGGGGGGAGGAGGGTTGGTTACATCTACCACAGAACTGAAAGTTTAACTGTGGTTACATCTACCATAGAACATAATAGCCAGTGACTATGAGCTACCTCTCTTCTCCCCTCAAATGAGTGGGGGAGGTGCGGTAAACGAGCTTGCATTAACTTGGAGAGATTTCGATCATTTGTTTACATAGTTCGGTGGAATTCTTTTAGCAGTTTTAGAGATAACGGTCTCTATTGAAGCCAGCAGTGGTCCGTTTTGTCTTGCTGACTTTCTGGTTGCTTCCCCAGTGGTGGCATGAAGAAATAAATGCCACCGCTCCCTGTGCCCTTGTCAGGAGGCCAGGTTCTGGCTCTGGTCCCTTGTAGGCTTATAAAACTCCACAGATAATGCGACCTAGTAGAACTTTGGTTCACTATCAATGATATTAGCTTCAGAGAGTCACCAGGGCTCACCCAGTAATCGGTATATCGTTACATTCAGTGTCGGCTTTTTGTTATTAAAATCCTAAGAAAATCAATATATAATGCAGTACAAATACTTAAGCTTTATACCCAATAAGTGTTCTGGATTGCATATTACATTTCACCACCGAAATTTGTTTCTCTAGCAAGGATGAAACTAACTTGTCAGCAGTATTTCTATAAAAAGTCTTAACAGTGCACATATATACCAAAACCCAAAACAAATTGATTTCCTCCTCTCTCAAAAAGCTACTTGGTGTTTACATAGCTGGAAAATAAAAGAAGTTGTTGTAAATGCACTTTGTTTTTGAAATATTCAATGTTTGCATTATAAATAGAGGCCATCCTGAATGAGAACTTTCAATGTACTATCAGCTCACTTAACATTAACTTTGAAGATATGCATGAGGTATATAATTGTTGAAGCAATTATGTCCAATTAATACCAAACTAGAGTACATTGAAATTAAACAAATATGAGCCCACAACTTTGTGTACTGTCAGTAGGAATGACACTAAGTTCTCTGTCGTTGTGCACAAGCTATGCAAGAATTTTCTCATACATGGACCAAAAAGATTCCTACAGAACTCCAAAACTTAATACAGTACAAACCATAATTTTGAGCTAAACTTTCTATCAGTTATAACAACACATTTTATGCAACACTGTTTAGGTCAGCCATTGCCAGGGACAAGAAGCCTGGACTTGTCAAAGTCTTCCTAGACCAGTGACTGGCAGTTTCCCAGGATGCAACACACATCACTTGCTAAACTTCCTAGTACCTATTTACCACTAAACATTAGTTGTAATGTACCCAATGTCTCGTTCTGTGTGGGAAATGGGACAATTCAGGGATTAACTTACTATAAATTAAATTGCTAAATACTTGTATTCCTTTTGGCCATGTGTTTACATTTACCATGTTGCAATAACACACAGGACACAGCTCAACTACTGACCTAAATGTCTTTTACATTCTATAAGCAACAGAAGCATCTACATGGCTATCTATTGACCCCCTTACTAACCTAATCATACAGTATTCATATGACATACAATAATACAGGAATACATTCAATTCTCAGACTTCAACAATGTCCAACACACATTAATTTTATAGTAATCACTAATGACATTTATTACTGGAATGATATTATTTGTTTAAAAAATACATGAACAACTGCTGTTAATTTTGTTAAGATATCTGATAGAATAAGATATAAAATGCTCATTACACAAACTTGCCCATTACACATTACAAAAGTGAATAAGGCAGCTGTAAATCAAAGCATCCCATCAAATTTCATTAGAGCTATCATTCACTTTCTAGTGCACTAGACAATGACAAATATTACATGGATATTCTAGCTTCCTTGTAGAAAAAGTTTAAAGTCATCAAATTTGATCCAAAATGGAATTCTTGTTATATCAAATACATTACTACAACTGTTGTAAAATTTTCTTTGTTGCTACAACACAAATAAACCATTAACTCATTAACCCTTAAATGTCTCTAACCACAATCTGCCATTATCTTGTGAATTGTCAAATGAAAATTTTGTGAACTATTTTTGTCATGCAAACCACAATGTAGGACTTTTCATTAGCTGAGCTGTTTAAAGGTTAACTCTGTCTACTGGATATGAAGTCCCTCATACTTCAGTTCATCTGGATCAAATCTACAATGACACTGCTATTTCCCGAGACTTCTTTTAAGTTCCGACAGAGAAGTTGGAGCACGATGGCACGTAGGAATGTTGTGATGCGACCTTGGCTTGTAAAGGTATGGCTGCCATTCATCAAAACTGAGACTATTCACAAAAAACTGAAAACCAAATAACATTCACATACATAAATGGTAAGTTTCAACTAAACAGCATGTTTATGAAAAATTAGCTGCCTCTCACTGAAATAATAGGAACCAGAAATCTATAAATATGATATGATTGTGAAGGTGTACAACTAGCCTTCATCTTATTTTTAAATGTCCATTTAATGTACAAAAAGGATGAAATTGTCAAAAAGTGCTAGGCCAGGATGACTACGTAGCACTCTTACAAAAAAGTTACTGAGTATTTAAATTACATTTATAAAAGTCTTCAAGGTTGATAAAGTAGATCCATAAAATGGAAGACTGACCTTAAAGAATACTATAAGAATTGCTGGAGATGTAAGTATTATTTTCTTGTGCCTGTTACTAAATTTTGTGTGCATTTTGAAACTACTGCATGCGAAAAACACAACATGGCTGTTTACATTTGACGAATATTGCCTACCAGTGCACAGATGACAGTAAACTGGCTCGAAAATTTTACTCACGCAATTGTGAATGAAAATTACTTCCATACACTTTATCGTGAAAAATGCACTCGAGTATTCATTTACTCAGGAACCACACAGGGCTTACGTGACAATACTTTATACTTTACATACTAAATACTTTACATTTGGAAATTACTCAGCATATGGAGTCTCCTTCTAAGCTTTATACTTTACATAAAGAGTGACTTTACATCACAGTCTCATTCATCCACAATACAAAATACCTCAAGTACCTGCTGTTTTAGGAAATTTTCATTACATATTTAAGGCTCTGGTAATTAGGGAGGATCTTCAGTGCTTATAAGTTCTGTCAAGCATTTGCATTGTTTTCTATTTTACTGGAAAATACAGTATTTATTTTTTGTAAATGATTTTCTAAGCTGAGAATACATATTAATTAAGGTCATGTTTGCACCTATTCTCCCAAACAGTTTGAAGAACACAATATAGATAGGAGAATGAATGGCCAAAATGGAAATACTAAGCTGCAACTAAGTAATTATCAAAATAAAGTGCTAAGCCCAGGCTGTAACAAAATGCTGTAAATCTTGTATAAAAAACAACACCATGAAGACAGTTTTAGTATGAATAATATAACTTGAGATAACAAATGTGCACATTTAAGAATGGAGATGTACATGAGAACGGAAGTGCTCACAAGAGCATGGAAGTATATACAAGAGAGAGCGGAAGTAGGCCCAAGAACCATTCATCAGCTGGACTACTACTCGCAGTTCTTACCAACAAATGACACCTCCCCAACCTATCCCAACTGCACACCAGCATATAGAGTAATAATCAAAATAAAGCCCATAAGGCTATATGCTATTGCCTGCAGCCAATATATTAAGCATGCAGTTGTTAATTAGTACATCTTAGCTGGCTGTTAGTAGAGCAACTGTCTTCAATTACCTCATTAGCAGGAGGTAATTCTCCTGCTATGCCTTGCAAGATGGTCATAAAGAGAATAATCACACTAAAGTGGCTGAAAATTAGTAACTCGACCTACAGCAATGAAATCTGAAGCCATGCAAGCCCAACCCACACATAAGGAAAAAGAGACTCCATTTTGGTCCATTAACTCGTGTTCATGCTTTACTTCTCACCTCTTCTTTCCCCTTACCTTATATTGACTCACTACCACTCTTTCTTGACACTTTATAAGGGACTAGGACAGTCCAAGCATGTCACATTTACATTCTTTTCATGTACGTGGGGTTGGGTTACTAAGATGAACTTCCATGGATTCAGATTGCTTAACCTGACCTCTTATCTTCACATTTTCCCTGTTTCCCCACATGATCTTCTCTTCTTGAGATGATTTCGGGTCTTGGTGTCCCCACGGCCCGGTCCTCGATCAGGCCTTCTTTTTGTTACACACCCCTGGAAAGCAGCCTGTAGCAGCTGTCTAACTCCCAGGTACCTATTTACTGCTAGGTGAACAGGAGCATCAGGGTGGAAGAAACTCTGCCCATTTGTTTCCGCCACCACCGGGGATCGAACCTGGAACTTCAGGACTACGAATCCAAAGTGCTGTTCATTCAGCTGTCAGGCCCCCAACAGTGGTTCCTGAATGATGAACGACCAAACCAGCATTCTTCACCAGGACTCCTGCTACATTTCTCTAGTGCAATAGTACCTAACCAGTGGCTCATGACCCCCAAGGTCACAAAATGTTTTCTTAGGGTCACAGCTCTTAAATTCCCAAAGTGTCTAAAACAATGATGTTATTGTTCCTAAATTCATTCTTTAATTTTTTAAATTATGAAAGTGTGCCAGGGGGTCACAGGTATAAAGTGTGCCAGGGGGTCACAGGTATAAAGTGTGGCAGGGGGTCACAGGTATAAAGAGTATTAGAAAATAGGGCCACGAGTCCAAAAAAGGTTGGGAACCACTGCTCTAAAGCATGAGTACATTCTATTACTTCATGGTTTGAAGAATCACATTAATTTATTAATGAGATAAAACATCCACATTTTTCAGGAAGATTTTGTATTTATTACGTTAATTTTGCATACTGTGTATGGTAATTACCTACATGTAATTACAAGATGAGAGTAATTGAGTGCTTGGTAAATTTAATAATGAGATGACAGTAAGTAATCAGTAAAATACAGCACTAAAGCAGAAGGGATATATAATGCTGTGTTAATGAGTATCCAAGAGTTCCTGTATAATGTTGTATATCATTCAGGAGGTGGATTCACTGAGGACAGAGAGAGATGTAAACACACTGGCATTTGTTGACAAAATTGCAATCTCCTGATCTGTCAAAGTGTTGAATACAAACTTTATAGCTCTGTCTAGTTGGTAAAAACTAACAAGTTTTATTTTAAATCCTTAACAAGGTTTATCATTTGTAGTACAAGCAATATGATCACTTACATCTGCAATTACATCTAAAATAAATACAAAAAATCTAAGCATCAATAAATACTAGGAAATATAATAAAAATGTTCATACAGCTTGTAAAGAATGTGCATAAGTATTAGAGCATCATAGACCTGAACCACCGAGTGCTTTAAACACAAACGCTGTCGCTAGTGTGCCAATACCCGCCCCAACAGCCATTGCCGTGGCAATACGGCCGTAACTATAGTTCTTTACAACTACAGCTGCTTCTTGATGCTCAACATGCTGTGCAGCTCCAGCTTCTAACAAAGACTTCTTTACCATAGATGCTATTTCACCCTGAGCTTTACTTCCTTCTGACACTATGCTACTAATGATGATATTAAGCTCTTTATTCAATTGTTCGATAAGTAACTCCTTCTCTTTGACAAAGGTTTCATTTATGTGCTGTAATACAGTATGCCTCATATCTGCAGTTAACTTTGTTACATCATCCTTAGTTACATTTGCTGGCACAAGCCTGTCAGAGCTCTCACAAATGCCTATGTTGGATTGCACAGATGAATTTTCAGTTTGTTGTGTAGCTTTTGATGAAAATTGAGCCTCAGCATTGTCTGCCAACATGACTAGCTCAGGTTGCAAACGAGTGGGACTGGTCAATGACGTTGTGATAGTGCCCAGTACATCCTTGTGCATCTGCTGGAAGCCATCCAATAGATTCTGGCCGTTGCCCGACACGTGATCCTTAATTTCTCGAATCCTGACCCAATTGTTGACGGAGGTGATGAGCGATGCCAATGCTGCTGATATCACTGATGCAATGATGGACCTTTGAACAAATAAACATCATATGTCTATATAAACTAAAATTAACAAGTGTTACATAGTCTTAAAAGGGACAGAAAATCACAAAGTACAGTATACTGTATGTTATACTGTTACATGAATAATAGAATTGAATCTTTCATTCAAGCTGTTATCAATCCATCCTCTCACCTAATACATTGTCACATTTTTAATAGAATTCAACCAATTCCTTAAAATGAGATGTACAGTGGAACCTTGATCTAAGAATGCCCCAGAGTACAAATTTTTCTGTGTACGAAATCAATTTCATCACAAAATTTGCCCCGGTGTATGATGTATGGACCAAAATATGACTCATTTGTTGATACTCGTATGGGTCAGGTGCATGGGTTCTGCTGGGAGCAGGGTGAAGCACACCCAGTTTACCAGTGTATCCTACCTAGTGACGACCGTGCTTGAATTCTTTGTAAAGAATTTAATTGTTTTTCTGCTTTTTTATTTCTGAACAGAAAAGCTATTATTATATATCATGCCATGGGTCCTCATGGCGTGATATATATAATGAGAAGAACTGCAAAGTTTTGCTGAAAAAAACTCTCCCAGATAAAACTGTAACAGACTGTTGGATTAACCTTTTTAATGACAATGTGATGTCTCACTACAGACAAGTGTAGGGAACAACAAGTGTCTTTAGACAGATTCTTATTGAGACAGACAACCAGTGAGCCATCTGGTAGTGGCAATCAATACTAACAAATTTTGAGCTCATTTGAGTGAATCCCTTGTTCCATGTGACTCATTTGCAGTAATCATTTGGCAGTTTTTGAGGCTTAATTTTCTGTGAACCCTCCAGTTGCCGGTGTTGACTGTCTGGAGTCTTTTTCTGGCAAGGTGGCAGATTGTCACCTGCTCCCTGTGCCTCTTATGAGGGGCCAGGTTCTGGCACTGGTCCCTGGCAGGCCAAACAGAACTATACACGACCTTTTAGCATCAAGCAGTCTCGGGAAGATAGCTTCAGGAAGCCACAAAGGGCTTCTCCAGAAAACTAAAATATAGAACAAAGTACAAAGCTAATGGCCCCCACAGGAATACTTCCAAAGGACAGCCAGCACACAGCTTGACGCAGAGGGGTTTGTCACATCTGAAAGACCCAGAACACTACCGTCCAGTGAACATCAATGTAAGATGATAGTTAACCAGGTTGTTAAACGATTTTGCTGGGTTGTATTCCGGGGAACATAGGATTAAGGACTTATTTATATATATACAGGAGTTCTTACATTTTTGTACAGCCACTAGCATGCATAGCATTTTGGGCAAGTACTTAATCCTAATTTTCCCTGGAATACGACCCGCCAAATTGTTTACAACCAGGTACCCGTTCACTGAAGGGTGAACAGAACTACAGCTAAGGATTAGTGCCCAATAAATCCTCTCTGGGATTTTTCTGGTTCAGGAAAGATGGTTGTGTGTAGAAGCTAAACCTCCTGGAGGTGGTAGTCAGTACTACAAGGTCTGCCCTAATTTTGCAGAGTTGTTTGATGGTTTTGAGGCTTCTGTCTTTGTTAACTCTCCAGTTGTCTGTAAAGCTTCATTGGCTTTACGTGTGCTTTCCCAGTATGGTGACAAATTGTGACTCACTCTCTGAGCCTCTGTGAGGAGGGTCAGGTTTTGGCTCTAGTCTCGGTAGGATCCTAGTTTCGATTCCCAGGTGAAACAGAATTGGCTGGGAACATTTCCTTTCACCTAATTTTTCTGTTCACCTAGCCGTAAACAGGCACCTACGAGTTAGGCAACTGTTGTGGGGTTGTAGCCTGGGAATAATTAATAGTTCAACCTTGTGGGGTCCTCGATACAGGCCTAATGTATGGGCCTAATATGACACACACACTTCCTATCACTGACAAAACAAATTTGTTATATACAGTATTTAAAAATGGTAGATGGAAGGAACATTAAACTGTAGACCAGTCTCACTAACTAATGCAGTACTGTACCAAAGAAAACTTAACAAGGAACATTTAATAATAATCTAAAAAAAAAATCACAAAACTTCAGTAAGCTAAAATTCTGATTGCAGAAACTATCATAAACATACTGAATGCAGGAAGATCCAGGATCTTCTTAATTAAAATACTGTATAATGTTTAAGACATGTGCAAGATCACATTGTTAGTAAACAATTATTTCTAGACATTTATATTAATCTTATTATTTTTGATGATTTGTATAGAAAAAAATATTGCCCTATATTGCATTGAATTTATAAATATAATGGTCATGAGTTTGTCTTACCAATACTTGCTCTGCTCTGCTTGCATACGTTCTCGCTCGTGACAGTCACGTATAGCGGCAGACATTTGAGTGAAGGTGTCCCTCTCGTGCCTTTCACACACAACAAACTCTGTTCGCAAAGTTTTCAGCCGGGCATTCATTTCACGGGCCTGGGGTTCATAAACAAATATTTTGTTAACAATTACTCTTACATTTTATATGGACAAGCACATAACCTGAGAATCACGAAAAGTATGGAATACAACAAGCTCTGCCTTTCTAAGAAAATTTACAATCAAGAGCCCCGAGTTCAATCCTCAGGCAGGACAGACACGGTTAAGCAAGTTTCCTTTCATCTGATGCCACTGCTCATCTAGTAGTAAATAAGTATGGTACCCCGGAGTTAGGCAATTGTTGTGGATTGCATCCTAGGGAGGGTCATTAACTGGGCCTCGATAATCATAAGTATTGTACAGGATTCCTGTCTCAGACAATGGGAATTAAAATAATTTAAATCACCATCTTTCTATTCCAAATACAAAACTACACACCTTTTAGTGTATTAAAATACATACCACTATTACTGTATAGGGTAGATTAGCAATGAGCTCTAAATGGTTAAAGAATATTACTCATGACCATTAAAGATTTGGATTATGAATGACTTGCAATACAAGTTAACTCACTTGAACTTGAAGCACCACAAATATTCATGGAAACATATCAGATGATGTAAGATAATGAGGCCAATATAAGTATTGTACAGTAAAAGATACATAAATAAAAACAAGAAATTACCATACAATTTTGGCGATCAAAAGTTTTCAAATACTGTACTGCAATACATAATAAATGAATAGGACATAATGGATACAATGTAGAGAATTAGCTACAATAGCATGGCTGAATTAATAGCCCAACCCACGCATATAAACAGAAAGGAAAGTTACAATATTTCACTCTATTCATGTAGTATCATTCCAGATACTACATGATAAGGATCCAGGATGGACCGAAACGGTTACAGTATTTTCCTTTCTTCACTATATCTGGATACAATATAATAAAGAAATACCAAATTGAAAGTTTACTTATATTAATACAAATAAAATTATATAGTTTCCTTATCAAGCTATACTAACCTGGTCAAATAAAGTAAAATGCTCCTGGGAATACTGCTCAGTCTTTGTGATACGTTCATGGTTGACAACGAGTTTATCTTGGATGTCCTCAATTTCTGCTTGCAGCTCCCGGCGTTTGCTCTGCACCTCATGCAATACCTCAGACAGCTGTCAACAACAGGTCAATTAATAACCACTAAATGTGAGTAATGAAATTCACAATATTTGAGATTTCAGAATAATTTATTCATCCAACAATCTGAAGTCAATGAGCTTTATGTACAAGATGATGGCTCAAACGTTTTAAAAAATAGACTCCCAAAGGTGAGATGGATTACTGTACATATTTAAATATGGATTCAAAGGCATTAACTACTGTACATAAAACATAATCTTATACATAATGGTAATCTTGTCTAACCACAGTGGAGAAAGGCAACTAGTGAACTACATTACTTCAAGGACTGACGAACCCAACAACTTTGCTTGATCGGTAGAGTGGCATCCTTACTTTCAACATGGTCAGGGTTCAATCCCCGACGATCCAAATGCATAGCCTTACAAGTGTTATACTGTATTGTCATACTTACATAGTGCTTTCTCTTCATAATTACCGTGCCTAATATGGGTTGTTACTTATGTAACAACATCCTTTTCCTAATCTATAAGAGAGAGTGTCTATGTCTGCAGAAGATGAATCACAATAATGTGGCTGAAGATCTGATGACCAAACAACACACCAGAAGAAGAAACGACGACGCTTTGGTTCGTCTTGGACCATTATCAAGTTGTGTGTTGATAATGACTTGAACGTTATTACACGACTTGATGATGGTCGAGGACGAATCGAAACATCGTTGTTTCTTCATCTTCTGATATGTAGTTTGATCATCAATGTCTGTGTCTGTTTGCATTTCTGTCTGTTTGAGGTTGGAGGCCAGATGAATAGGGCTAGCCTCATTAAACTTTGCAGGACTTTTAGTTATTTTATCAGGAGTGTCATAGTGTCATAGGGGGGGGGGGGGTAAGGGTTAGCCCAATCATGATGTCTGTGGATGTGAAATGGTTAGTTCTAAGTCAGTAGACTTTAGCATTAGTTTAAATAATAGTGAATTCAGATAATTATTTTCAAAACATGTTCAGGTGATAGATTTGAATTTTGCGTGCAATCTTTTGACAGGGAGGAGGAAGGAGACTGAGGTATGTGTGTGTAATGAGAGATAGCAGACTGGGGAAGGCCATATGTGTTCAGGGAGGGAAGAGATGCGGAAAAAGCCAGTGTGGGCAGGGAGGGAGAAGACGGGGGAAGGGTGAATATGGGCACGGAGGAGATCGATAGAATATGTGGGAAGACGTGAGAAGACATGGGAAGGGTTAGTGGGGAATACGGGGATGGTGAGGGGTAATGGGAGGGTGTGTGTAGGTGAGAGATGGGGAGGGTGTGTGGTGGGACATGTAGATGGTGTAAAGATGTTTACAGTGAAGACAGTAGGTATTGAAAATTGTTATAGCAAAATGGGGAGATGGGGAGGGTGTGTAGATGAAAGATGGGGAGGGTGTGTAGGTGAGAGATGGGGGAGGGTGTGTAGGTGAGAGATGGGGAGGGTGTGTAGGTGAGAGATGGGGGAGGGTGTGTAGGTGAGAGATGGAGAGGGTGTGTAGGTGAGAGATGGAGATGGTGTGTAGGTGAGAGATGGAGGAGGGTGTGTAGGTGAGAGATGGGGGAGGGTGTGTAGGTGAGAGATGGGGGAGGGTGTGTAGGTGAAAGATGGAGAGGGTGTGTAGGTGAGAGATGGGGGAGGGTGTGTAGGTGAGAGATGGAGAGGGTGTGTAGGTGAGAGATGGAGAGGGTGTGTAGGTGAGAGATGGAGGAGGGTGTGTAGGTGAGAGATGGGGGAGGGTGTGTAGGTGAGAGATGGGGGAGGGTGTGTAGGTGAAAGATGGAGAGGGTGTGTAGGTGAGAGATGGGGGAGGGTGTGTAGGTGAGAGATGGGGAGGGTGTGTAGGGGAGAGATGGGGAGGGTGTGTGGTGGGACATGTAGATGGTGTATTATTATTATACTGAAGGGAAGGGGGATGGAAACTATCAGGAGAAAGCACCAAGCCATTTTATGACAATATAGCACTGGGGAGGGATCTGGATAATGATTTAGGATGAGACAAGGTGAAAGAACGGTGCTCAACCACTAGGACGGTCGGGGATTGAACGCCAACCTGCATGAAGCGAGACCATCGCTCTACCATTCAGCCCAAGTGGTTGAGCATTTAGATGGTGTGAAGATGTTTACAGTGAAGACAGTAGGTATTGAAGATTGTTACAGTATAGCAAAATTGGGAGGTGGAAGGGAGTGTGCAAAATGAAACAGGGAAGGTGTGTATACAGGAAGATGGGTAAGGTGTTTGGGGTACACCTGGGTACTGGATCAACCCAGGCACCACTGGGTACCACATTTAGTACAGTACGTATACGTAAAAACCAGATAAAGGAGAGTGGGTTTCATAGCACAGTTGGTCTCATTCTCGATTCACAATCAGGGATCCCGGATTAAACTTCTGGGCAGGTCAGAAATGGTTGGGCATGTGTCATTTCACATAATGTCTCTACCTGGAAGTAAATAGGTACTTGTGACTTAAGCAGCTGTTGTGGAGTTGCATCCTGGAGAGGGTCACTAGTTCGACCTTCAGTGGGACCTCAATACAGTACAAGTCTACAGCATATATATAATATATATACAGTAATATATATAAAAAGGCTTCCTGTCTTCAACAAAATGAATTAATAAGAAGAATCAGAACATGAGGACTGTGATACACTGAAGAGTGGCCTATGCACACTCCAAAGATGGTCTGAAAAGTAACTTCAGGTCTTTAATAAAGCAAAGTGTAATGTCAATAGAAGTAGAATCAATAAAATTCTTCCAGTAGTATAAAATGAAGAGGAAGCAGATGCCTGTATCAGAAAAGAAGACCTGGGAGCTAATATTACCCCAAATCAAACACCAGAGGCATTCATTAGCAGTACAGTATAATACAAGCAGCTTATACCCAACTGGTGAATAACCAAATAGCCTCCAGGAATTTGGACACAGATGTGTTCTGAGTTCTATACACAATTATGAGAGACCCACTCTTGCGTATGCAGCCCTGGTATGGAACCCAGACCTGAGCAACCTACGCGAGACCTACTCTCGAGTATACAGGATCAGTATGGAACTTTCATCTGAGCAACCTATGTGAGACCTGCTCTTTAGAATACAGCTCTGGTATGGAACCCCACCTGTTTAACCTATGTGAGACTCGCTCTTAAATATGCAGCCCCAGTATGGAATCCTCAACAGAGCAATTTATGGGAGATCCACTTTTGAGTATGCAGCCCCAGAGCAACCTATGGGAGACCCCTTTTGAGTATGCAGCCCTGGTATGGAAAACAAGACAAGAAAAGATCCAATAAAATGCAATAAGTTGTGTTCAATCAGCTCTTGATTTACCACTATGTACAAAATAAAGGGTACTCAAATGCATGAACCCAAACCACCCACCTAACCAACCTACATATATCCACTCAATGTGTGAGCTGCTACTTTTCATAGTACAGTACCCTTTATTTTGTACATCGTAGATCATTTTGTACATTGGATCATAGCATACAAAATGAAGCACATTAACTCCTCCGGTATAAAACATAGTACTTGTACACTGAGGAGATCGATTGCATTTACAACTCATAAATATATAAATAGTTTTCTGATTCACCCCATGAGGAGTATCAGAGTGTTTGGTATTGTTCTCTGTTCACTCACCTCAGTAACTCTGTCCTGTGCATTTTTTAAATCGGTAATACCAATGAAATCTTGATACTGCTGATACCAACGATTTAATATATCATTCCAGTCTTCAGGTTTTTTGGTGTCGGCTCCTCCAGTGAATTTAGACATGCTGGTCTGCCTCATGTTATTAATCATCGATGAAGATTTTTCTGACAGTTGCTGTCTGAGTGAGTAAATTTGAGGTTTCTTCTCCCGGATACGAGTGAGAAGTCTGTCGGCATTGGTAATAACAGGATTGTCTGTTGATTCTGACTCTTTATGTTTGTCTTTATCATTAGCTGCGCAGCTTCCACTCTGCAATTCTGGTGGCTTTGACGAACTACACAAATGACGACACGTCACATGACCTTCTCTAGTCCCTCCACTACTAGAGTGGAAGAGAATCATGCTGGGACTGACAGCTGGATTAAATGTTGACGCAAGGGCTCTTGTCACGTAAGCTGTGCCACAGCCATCGGCTAGAAGTGGACGTACTGCAGCCATCATCACCATCAGCCCTCTGACTCTCACACTATTTACAGAATTGCTTGTGATAAAATCATATCATTTCCGTCTACTAAAATGTTTACTAAAGCACACCGTGCTATTTCTTCACAGCTGTTGCATGCTAGTGCAATATCACCAGCATCCAAAAATAACCTGAAATGCAAAACGTGCGAATATAAATATATATATAGTAAATGAGCCTGAACTATAACTTATGTAATCCTGTAATGATTATGATACATACAGTATATAACTTAATAACTATAATATAGTATCTCATCAGTAATCTTAATAAACACTAAAATAACCAAGTGTTGAATATAACACTTAAATAACTAAGCATTGAATGGAACACTTAAATAACCAAGTGTTGAATATAACACTTAAATAACCAAGTGTTGAATATAACACTTAAATAACTAAGCATTGAATGGAACACTTAAATAACCAAGTGTTGAATATAACACTTAAATAACCAAGTGTTGAATGTAACACTTAACATCCAGTCAGTGATATTTTACAGACAAATGGAAGAATAACAAAGTCCTAAGTCTTGAAATCGCCAAACAACTCTACACTCGATTAACACAGAACAAGACAAACATTCAAAAGTAGCACGAAACTCATTATATTGAATGTTGCCACCCGGAGGCCTGGCTTCAGCACGCAACCGTCTTCCTTGTTCAGTTCTGGGGCTGATGAACAGCCCTCCAGGGATGGTCAAGAAAAAGGTTTTTCCATTACATTCAATGCTGGGTGTCCGGGACAGCCCCTGGTGGCTTCCTGACGCTAACCACAGAGAATAAAAACACTACTAGCACTTGGGGGTGAACATGACCCAGGGTGAACATAACTTGGGGTGAACACTACCTGGGGTGAGCACAATACCAGAACACTGCCCAGGGTGAACGCGACACCGGGAGAACACTGCCCAGGGTGAACGCGACACCGGGAGAACACTGCCCGGGGTGAACGCGACACCGGGAGAACACTGCCCGGGGTGAACACGACACCGGGAGAACACTGCCCGGGGTGAACGCGACACCGGGAGAACACTGCCCGGGGTGAACGCGACACCGGGAGAACACAGCCCGGGGTGAACGCGACACCGGGAGAACACTACCCGGGGTGAACAAAACACAGGGAGAACACTGCCCAGGGTGAACAACACCGGGAGAACACTACCTGGGGGTGAACACAACACCGGGAGAACACTACCAGGGGTGAACAACACCGGGAGAACACTACCTGGGGGTGAACAACACCGGGAGAACACTACCTGGGGGTGAACAACACTGGGAGAACACTACCTGGGGGTGAACAACACCGGGAGAACACTGCCCAGGGTGAACGCGACACCGGGAGAACACTGCCCGGGGTGAACGCAACACCGGGAGAACACTACCCGGGGTGAACACAACACAGGGAGAACACTACCCGGGGTGAACACAACACAGGGAGAACACTACCCGGGGTGAACACAACACCGGGAGAACACTACCTGGGGGTGAACAACACTGGGAGAACACTACCAGGGGTGAACACAACACCGGGAGAACACTACCTGGGGGTGAACAACACCGGGAGAACACTACCAGGGGTGAACACAACACCGGGAGAACACTACCAGGGGTGAACACAACACCGGGAGAACACTACCAGGGGTGAACAACACCGGGAGAACACTACCTGGGGGTGAACACAACACCGGGAGAACACTACCAGGGGTGAACACAACACCGGGAGAACACTACCTGTGGGTGAACAACACCGGGAGAACACTACCCGGGGTGAACAACACCAGGAGAACACTACCTGGGGGTGAACAACACTGGGAGAACACTACCTGGGGGTGAACAACACCGGGAGAACACTACCTGGGGTGAACAACACCGGGAGAACACTACCTGGGGGTGAATAACACTGGGAGAACACTACCTGGGGGTGAACCACACCGGGAGAACACTACCTGGGGTGAACAACACCGGGAGAACACTACCTGGGGGTGAACAACACCGGGAGAACACTGCCTGGGGGTGAACAACACCGGGAGAACACTACCCGGGGTGAACAACACCGAGAGAACACTACCTGGGGGTGAACAACACCGGGAGAACACTACCTGGGGTGAACACAACACCGGGAGAACACTACCTGGGGGTGAACACTACCTGGGGGTGAACAACACCGGGAGAACACTACCTGGGGTGAACACAACACCGGGAGAACACTACCTGGGGGTGAACAACACCGGGAGAACACTACCTGGGGGTGAACAACACTGGGAGAACACTACCTGGGGGTGAACAACACCGGGAGAACACTACCTGGGGGTGAACAACACCGGGAGAACACTACCTGGGGGTGAACAACACCGGGAGAACACTACCTGGGGGTGAACAACACTGGGAGAACACTACCTGGGGGTGAACAACACCGGGAGAACACTACCTGGGGGTGAACAACACCGGGAGAACACTACCTGGGGGTGAACAACACCGGGAGAACACTACCTGGGGGTGAACACAACACCGGGAGAACACTACCTGGGGGTGAACAACACCGGGAGAACACTACCTGGGGTGAACAACACCGGGAGAACACTACCTGGGGGTGAACAACACCGGGAGAACACTACCTGGGGGTGAACAACACCGGGAGAACACTACCTGGGGGGTGAACAACACCGGGAGAACACTACCTGGGGGTGAACAACACTGGGAGAACACTACCTGGGGGTGAACAACACTGGGAGAACACTACCTGGGGGTGAACAACACCGGGAGAACACTACCAGGGGTGAACACAACACCGGGAGAACACTACCAGGGGTGAACAACACCGGGAGAACACTACCAGGGGTGAACACAACACCGGGAGAACACTACCTGGGGGTGAACACTACCTGGGGGTGAACACAACACCGGGAGAACACTACCAGGGGTGAACAACACCGGGAGAACACTACCTGGGGGTGAACAACACTGGGAGAACACTACCTAGGGGTGAACAACACTGGGAGAACACTACCTGGGGGTGAACAACACCGGGAGAACACTACCTGGGGGTGAACAACACCGGGAGAACACTACCTGGGGGTGAACAACACCGGGAGAACACTACCAGGGGTGAACACAACACCGGGAGAACACTACCAGGGGTGAACAACACCGGGAGAACACTACCAGGGGTGAACACAACACCGGGAGAACACTACCAGGGGTGAACAACACCGGGAGAACACTACCAGGGGTGAACACAACACCGGGAGAACACTACCAGGGGTGAACACAACACCGGGAGAACACTACCTGGGGGTGAACACTACCTGGGGGTGAACACAACACCGGGAGAACACTACCAGGGGTGAACAACACCGGGAGAACACTACCTGGGGGTGAACACAACACCGAGAGAACACTACCAGGGGTGAACACAACACCGGGAGAACACTACCTGGGGGTGAACAACACCGGGAGAACACTACCTGGGGGTGAACAACACCGGGAGAACACTACCTAGGGGTGAACAACACTGGGAGAACACTACCTAGGGGTGAACACAACACCGGGAGAACACTACCTGGGGGTGAACACAACACCGGGAGAACACTACCTGGGGGTGAACAACACCGGGAGAACACTACCTGGGGGTGAACAACACTGGGAGAACACTACCTGGGGGTGAACACAACACCGGGAGAACACTACCTGGGGGTGAACAACACTGGGAGAACACTACCTGGGGGTGAACACAACACCGGGAGAACACTACCTGGGGGTGAACAACACCGGGAGAACACTACCTGGGGGTGAACAACACTGGGAGAACACTACCTGGGGGTGAACACAACACCGGGAGAACACTACCTGGGGGTGAACAACACTGGGAGAACACTACCTGGGGGTGAACACAACACCGGGAGAACACTACCTGGGGGTGAACAACACCGGGAGAACACTACCTGGGGGTGAACACAACACCGGGAGAACACTACCTGGGGGTGAACAACACCGGGAGAACACTACCTGGGGGTGAACACAACACCGGGTGAACACTACCTGGGGGTGAACAACACCGGGAGAACACTACCTGGGGGTGAACACAACACCGGGTGAACACTACCTGGGGGTGAACAACACCGGGAGAACACTACCTGGGGTGAACACAACACTGGGAGAACACTACCTGGGGGTGAACAACACCGGGAGAACACTACCTGGGGGTGAACAACACCGGGAGAACACTACCTGGGGGTGAACACAACACCGGGAGAACACTACCTGGGGGTGAACAACACCGAGAGAACACTACCTGGGGGTGAACAACACCGAGAGAACACTACCTGGGGGTGAACAACACCGGGAGAACACTACCTGGGGGTGAACAACACCGGGAGAACACTACCTGGGGGTGAACAACACCGGGAGAACACTACCTGGGGGTGAACAACACCGGGAGAACACTACCTGGGGTGACAGGGAGGATCAGCTGGCCGAGGCCGTCTGTTTATCTCCGTTTTGTACACATTGTCCTCGTACTATTTACCTGAATTTCGTACACTGAATAGTTATTGTATTCCGTATATAATATAAATGTATAGCTGTTTATACACGTATGCATAACTTAAATTATATATAATTATTAAATCACTAGAATAAATGAAATTAGCTGCTGAAGGCCTATTCTGGCCTATATGCGAGGCATCTCCTATTTTTAATTCCCTTGTTTTATTGTTAGTATTATTATTATTACAGTACTAATATTAGTTTTGTTATTACTATTATTATTGTAAATATTATTATTGCTGGTTTTATTACTCTAACATATCAAACGTAGTATCATAGATCTTCAGCAAATACTTCTTCTCGTCCCCCATTGGTGAAGCTTCTGTCATCCGCAGCCAATGACAACTCGGTCATTTCTTGACATAGAGGAACCGTAGGATTATATTGGCGGAGAGTGTGTGGGTGTGGACCAATGGGGAGGTTGGGAGGGTAGTGACACCTGGGAGATGTTTACAAGTGGAGGAGACCAAGGTGGAGGTGATGGGTCGCGCCTGCTGCACTGTGTCTGAAGGTGAATCACGACCTCCACGCCCTCACAGTGGGGTGGGAGGCAGGACCACAGCTCATCACGGTGTGAGGCAGTGCCACCTCCTCCCACGGTGTGAGGCAGTGCCACCACCTCCCATGGTTTGAGGCAAGGCCACCATATCCCACAATGTTGTGGTGTGGGATATGGGGTTTCTCCATCTCCCACAGTGGGAGGCAGTTCCACCACTTCCCGCAGTGGGAGGCAGTTCCACCACCTCCCACAGTGAGAGGCAGGGCCACCACCTCCCACAGTTGGAGGCAGTTCCACCACCTCCCACAGTGAAAGGCAGTTCCACCACCTCCCACAGTTGGAGGCAGTTCCACCACCTCCCATGGTGTGAGGCAGGACCACACTTATCACGGTGTGAGGCAGTGCCTCCACCTCCCATGGTTTGAGGCAGGGCCACCACCTCCCACAGTGGGAGGCTTTTCCACTATCTCCTACAGTGGGAGGCAGTGCCAGTACATGCCAAGGTGGGATGGGAAGCGGTGCCCCTGGTAGCCAGTCTGGCAAGGGGGTTATATTCTGGCCCTCCATTCCAAGCTCCTCTTCCCTACGGAAGAGGATGTAGGGGATCTAATTACTGTACTGTACTATTAAAAAAAAAATACTTGTTCAGCATTTGGAGTAATACATCCATGTGGTTTAGCAAACATTATGTATGGATTCTTTGTGTACTGAATTTCCAGTATTATCCAACAACTTCCCCAGTGTTCAATTTGTCGCAGTGATGTCACACTATAAAACAATAATATTATATTTTTTGTTTGGGAAAGTTAGGGTAGTTTAGGTTGAAACACTAGCAGTGACGTAGATGGACTTCACTTTGGGCATTTGTTTTTACACTCGTTGTTAATGTAGCTTACTATGTAAACTAACCTGTACTATTTGCCTGAACTTACCAAAGGACACCATCTCTAGTGGCCTCGACAGTGACAGGTAGCCAGCAGTTTGTTAAATGTTTCCACATTATTCCTAAACACACACGTAACGGTTCTATTGTTACGTAAAGTATGGTGACAAATAAACACAGACACTAAGATACTATATATATATTTGGTCGAATATACAGAAGTACACCGGTGATACTTTGGTGTGAGTTGAGCGCACTGAGCGTCGGTACAGTATCTCGCAAGTGTCTGCTCTAGACCACACTTGAAAGTAGACTAGCCAATGTTCGCTACACCGCTGCTTATATTGCTCGGGCAACACCTCACCGTGTTGCCCGGGCAACGCCTCACCTCATTCATCTCCAAAGGTTGACAGGAATATTAACACTATATTTGGAGCGAGTATATTATTGGGATAATCTACTCGCTACACACATGTCATAAGGTTGATTAAAATTTTTATATATTAAGTTCTCCATACTTTTGCTAAATAGCTTCTCGTGATGCAAATTAGCTTTTATTCATTAAGATGTTTGTAGGTACAGAAGTTGTTTTGTCTGGACATGTTGTGAGTACTACCGGAGACTGGCCTCGTAGACATGGTGCAGGTACTGTAGTTAATGTGTAGATAAAATGAGGAACTAGCTGAAGGTATTGCTTCATTTGGTTCAGTATTTCCACAATCACTAGGAAATGTCTAAAAGTTGGTGTTTCAAGCTCGGTTCTGAGTGCAGTTAGTTAATTCCAGTAAAATTATAAAGGAACGGTTTTCCTCTCCATATTTTGAATTAAAACAGTATTGAAGATGCAAAGAACTATTATAATTAAAAACGAAAATTCCAATAATAAATTAGTGTCCCTAAAGAAGAGTATTCTAGTGAATTTTTTTAAACTAAGCTTGTATTTATTTGAAATGTATTGAAATTCCTAGTGAAACTGAAAGCAAGAGCTGTTCTGTATCGGCTCGTGTGAAGGCTGCCCCAGATACCCATTTATTTTGAGATTTGGGTAGATTTAGGTTTTTGATTTCTTTAAATGTTTTCCAATGTTCTTGCAATTATTCCATTATCTGTTGGGTAAAATGGGAAATTAGTGCAACCCAAGTAGGAACACACTTCTCTTGAGTGGCAGAAGATGATACAGTACATTTTTAAAGTTGGAGCAACTTTAGTTAAATTTGTATCATTTAAATAATGGCATAAACTATGCACTACTATTTAAAATATAACAAGAGGTGTTTCATGTTGGACCATTTTCACCCCAACTCTATCACGGGCAAATTGCTTATAAATGCAGATTATAATTTGGACATTTGAGTATTGTAGATTGCAGTCCCCGTGGCGCAATGGTAATGCACTCGCCCCGCGCTTTGCAAGAGATTTGCCCTAGGTTCGTATCCTGGCCAGAGAGGATTGACTAGGTGCCAATCCATAACTGTACGCCTCCATTCACTCAGCAGTGAATGGGTACCTGGTTGTTTAATGATTTGGTCTGTCGAATTCTAGGGAATAATCGGATTATGGACCTGCCTGAAACGCTATGCAAGAAACGAGATCTTGCTAGAATGTGAGATCTCTCGTAATACTGTGTACAGTAAATAAAAAATAAAAGTTTACATTACTGCTACTTTTTCTCTTAGGTTAGATTTTTATACATTGAATAATAGTTAAAATATTAATGACACATGGAATGAAAATGTGCACAGTATACAGAAATGGCCATATGATGAAAAAGTTAAATTAAAATTAATAACAATTTAATTAATATTAAATAAGAATTTTTGTACCATAAATTGCCAGTCTCCGTGGTGCAGTGGTAAGACACTCGCCTGATGTTCTGCGAGTGCTTTGTCATGGGTTCATATCCTGGCCTGGGAAGATTTACTGGGCGCAAATCCTTAACTGTAACCTCTGTTTAACTCGACAGTAAAATGGGTACTTGGTTGTAAAAACGATTCTTCGTGGTGGGTCGTATTCCAGGGACCTGCCCAACCTTAACCACAGGCAGGTCCCGCGGGACCTTAACCAGACCTTATCTCTGGTTAAGTACTCGCATTGCAGTACTTAACCAGAGAATGTGATTACAATTCTACACCCATTCCTACAATAGGCAGAGGTATGTTAATATACCCATAAACCACTGATCTGTAGCTCATATCACATGGTTAACCTTATAGGTTCCCATGGAAGGAAAGTTTGTTAGGGACAGGAAGCCTGTTAGACTTAAGATTCCCCCAGGCCAACTACTGACCTTCCCTAGGATGCAACCCACAATTAAGTTGCCTAACTTTTGGGTACCTATTTACTGTTAGGTGAACAGAGGCATGTGATGAAAAGAAACATTGCACAAATGCTGCTGTTCTGTCATGGAAATTGAACCCGGGATGTTTTGGCTGTGACCCGACTTTACTTACCGCTGTGCCTTGGCACGTGCTTAACACTGTGCCACAAGTTTCTGAGCTAAGCTCAAACATTGCAGCAGGTTGCCATAAAGCGCATCATTCCTTGCTGAGCTTCAACTTGCACTGTCTAGTAGATCCACAACTGGTTGAAAATATCATGGTAGTAATGTTTATCTGACGTCAGAGGTAAACTTGCACTATACGTGTATTGTCTTTTAAGTGATTATCATAACCTAATGTTACTATGAGCTTTCCTGACCATACAGTATTTTCACGAATATAAATGATTACTTCCCTGGAAACACAAACCAAACTCTATATTTTCTCTTGTTACAACTTGTAATAAAGTTGTTACATCTTGGCTTAACGTGTTTATGACGTATTAGAACGTTGTTACAACTTGCTATATTGGTTATTATAACTAGTAAAGTGGTGTTAAAACTTGTTCGAGCGTTGTACCAACGTCGTAGTTTCGGTGTGTGTTTGGCGGATTACTAGTTTAAGCTTGAAGGTTTGGTAATAGTGGTAGTTGTCTGATTTTGTGTTTCACATTACAGGGAAGCTGAGCATTGATGGTCAGTAATGAAGGAGAAGATTATCAAATATGTCTTTAATCCGCATCAGGGGTCGCACAATACTAGCACCAATTGTGAGTACAGTACTGTACTGCAGTTGTACAATCATCAAGTACTGTAGCTTTACAACTACAGTATATTATCATAAACCTTTCTAAAGTGTCTCCATTTTTTATGAACATTATCTTAGCCTATTTTAAATTAAATGACCTTATTACAATCTTTTATTTTGTGATTGGTGATAATACCTATAGCCTGAAGACAAAAAATTGTGATGACTTTTGGGGAATGAAGTCTGAGGCAGTTTATTAGCACAGTACAATATAGAGAAATGGTAACCAAGCAAGTCAAACATACCTTGATGTTACTTTGAGATGATTCCAAGAACCAATGTTCCTGGTTGGTCTGCCCAGTAGAGGCTGTTAGACATCCCTGCTTGCAGTCTGATACATTAATTACAGTCTTGTTAATCAGAACATGCTTGAGTTGCATTTAAATTGACAGAACATAATGATCATCATCAACGTTGCGTCAATGTTACATTAACGTTGTTTGACCAGACCTGCCCGGGGGGGGGGGGAGGGAATAGAGAGTAGACTTTATTGACATGTTCATCAGCACTTTGTGCTTTGTTCAGTCTTAATCTGTTGATGTAAATTAGGTCAGTATATTGGATAACCAAAGCAATGAACAACTTAAGGATACAGGCTGGAGAGAAGCTTTCGGACACATCCATATAAGCTGACTCAGTACAGGTGAGTCAGTCAGGGTGTCAGAGGGCCAGAAACTAGCCCTTGCCCCCCACCTCCCCTCTGTGGGGCTGTGGAGGGAGCCAGGTTCTGGTTCCGGTAAATCTATGGCTGATGCGATCTAGTAAATGGTACCATCTTGGCGTATAGGTTCAGGGAGCCACTGGGGCTGACCCAGAAATTGGCATTTCATTACATTTGGTACTGGTTTTATACATGCACCAGAAAAAATAGTCTAGTAGAGTAAAAAATACGATCTTGTGGGCAGGCAGAGTAGAGAATAAGTATCTTCTTAAATTCTTACCTTGTTTGCTTGTCCAGATGTTATATAACATGACAGACTAGGGTGCAGTTTCAGTTGGCAGGGATAGAGCCAGTTGGCAGATTATGTCCCAGGGAAAACTAGTAGGGAAAGGAAAGCTCATGGCCTGCTTACAGGAGTCAAAGTTATCCACTTCTATACCCATTGTGTGTGTGTGTGTGTGTGTGTGTGTGTGTGTGTGTGTGTGTGTGTGTGTGTGTGTGTGTGTGTGTGTGTGTGTGTGTGTAAAAAAAAAAAAAAAAAAAAAAAAAAAAAAAATGAAGGAAATGATAAAGTGAAGCATTTCAGCTGAGTGAAGAAGAACGGGTTGAGGCTCGTGCACTACGTGATCAAGCAGTACAATCCCAGCATGAGCGTCAGCGGTTTCAGTGTCAACAGCAGCCACAATTCAGAATCTGCCCCCACCAGCATGAGAGCCATCGCCACACATGGGTGAGTGTGTTGTGTAAAATACCGCAATTTACCTGAATTCACAAGTAACATTATTTGATACATGGAGTCGGTGTATCTTTAAAAAAGCAGTCATTTATAGCATTATACATCCAACCCACACATGAAAAGAGAGGAAGTGACGACATTTCGGTTCATTCTGGACCATTTGATAAGTGTCCAATGTTGACCAAAACATTGTCACTTCCTTTCTTTTTAAGTGTGGGGGGGATGGGGGAGGGGCTGCATGTATAATATTCAGCCATGTTATTGTGACTTGCTCTCCATTTATAGCATTGTTCGAAATGGATTGACTTGGGATTTGTAAATATGATTGTTATAGGGCTCCTGAACATGGATGATCAGATAATCACCAAAACATATTCTATAGGTCTACTCTTTATATTTTTGTCTAATTCTCATTTTTTTTTCTTTTATTTACACAAGACATCTAAAAACATACAATGAAAGTTTGAAGGATTCATGCCAGGAATAAGATGTTATTGTATAGGACTTCTGTGTGAAGAAGCTGTCAGTGTAGATAATTTCAGGAATTTTAATGGTGCAAGTGGTTGGGCACCATTCCTTTTTTCCCCATGCTATCCCATCCTCCTTGTCTTCTTATCACTTCCAAGTGCCCTATAGTCACTCTGGCTTAGCACTTTCTCCTCATAATAACCTAATGTACATCAAATGATAACTCAAAATAGAATGTTGTAATAAATATTTTATTTTACTAATTCCAGTATGTAAAACTAGTTTTAATAACACCATTACAAGATCTTAGTAGTGTTAAGTGTTAATACTTGTGGAAGGAGTTTAAAAAGTGGTGCACCACTCTCGTATTTTGGCTATTGTTGATTATTGTAGGGAATTGAGTACAAAAAGATTTGATGATGCTGTATTAGAAGTGTGGAAAAGATGAATAACCAAATAATAAAATGTCTGTTTGCATGAGAGGAGTTGCACAATAAGACTAGCAATGAAGGGAATTAAATTAGTCAACGTAAATTGAAGTAATAATTTAATATGGATGGAATGTTTGTGGTTTGAGTATTGCATGAATGAAGAAGATATACTGTATATGATGGCCTTCATGGACAGCAAGAGAAAACATTGCAAATACGTGTATAAGAAATATTTAACATGAAATTCAGTGACTTGAATTTGATCACACCATACAATTTCAATATTTTTTCAAGAAAATTTTAGTTTTGCCCTTTTTTTTTCTCTCTAGGGCTGTGAAACATGCAGTGATAGTCGCAATGTTCTCGGCGGAAGTGAGAAATCTTCAAGTGGTTTCCAGACTCGTAGCAGTACTTTAGCATCACCATCAATGACTCAAGGTAGACAGCGTGAGGGCCAAGAGAATTCTTCTTCTTCTGGTCCTAGCAGTCATGGAAGCGGCGGAGAACCAATGTCAGAGGGACCAGAGGATTCACCAAGTGCGGCCCATGTGTCCGTTCAAACTGAATCATCGGTGTCACTAACAGCCAGCACAGATTTACGTTCCTACCTCAACACCTCCCTTGATAATTCCCTCGACACCTCCATTAGTGCCTCGCATGATACCTGGCACCAGTCATCATTACTGGTCAGTCATGATCTCTTTTATATTTCAAGTCCATATTCCAGTGCACATGTATATTTATGGGTCCTGTCATACAGTGGTCTACACCCTCAACTCGCGGTCAAGGATCCCGGTACTCGGGAGTTAATCTGCTGTTATGGGTTGCATCCTTGGAAAGGGCAGAAGTTGACCTCGGAGAACTTGGATAAGTGCAGGGTTTCTATCCCTGACGACTTGAATTACATGTGTTAATTTTTAACCCTTGTATGTCTAATTTGTCAAGGAACAACATCATTAAAGTATTGGGTTTTCCATTGTCTAGTTTATATTTACAATGATGGCAATGGAAGCTGTGTTAAATGGTACTGTAGGACTTCAAACCGAAAGGGACCCCTCTTTTGTCACATTAAGAATTTTAGATTACCATCTCATTCAAAGAAAATAGTGATGAATGATACTGTTTTTTGTAGATATCTTTCTCACAACGGTTGTAGGAGTTTTGTTTGGCTTAGCAGGAATCAGAGCCAGAACCTGGCCCCCACCGCCACACAGCGGTGCAGAGCATCGGTGACAATTCATCACCCCACTGGGAAAGTATCCAGAAAGTCGGCAAAACTTTTCAGACAACTGGAGAAAGGGAAAACAAAGCCTCAAAACTGCCAAACAACTCTACAAACTATTCAGACAAAACAATATATTCACTCAAAAGTATCTCGCTCATTAGGACCGATAGCTGACACCAGGTGGTCAAAGTCACTGCCAGCTCACTGGTCAGTTCTCTCGCTGATGTGGTGTGGTTAATGCTATCTGTAGTGCTCTGGTCCATCAGTCATGTCAAACCTCTGCTTCAAGCTAAATGCTGGCCATTGTTGGATTTCATTTGGCCTACTGGTAACATTTGCTTCTGTATTGTTCTTTCATATTATTATTATTAGCTTCACATGTGTGTTTTCTTTCCATCTTGTTTTATGGACTTGGCTTCTAGTGCACTACAGGCTGCATGTGTAGCTCTTATCTGTGTTTGTGGTGTTTGTCTTCTCTGTGGCGATATTTGGCAGTTTCGAGGACTTATTTTCTGTGTATCCTCCAGTTGTCTGAACTTTGCTGACTTTCTGGATGCTTTCCTGGTGGGCTGGCGAATTGTCAGTCGCTCTCTGCACTTCTTTGAGGTTGGAGTCGGATTCTGATTCTGGTCTCCGGTATTGCAAACAGAACTCTTGCAACTAATGTGACCCATTAGATGGAGCAATCTTGGCATGATAGCTTCATGGAGTCATCGGGGCTTCTGCAGATACGGGCGTGATACAGTATTCAATGCTTGGTTTTTGTGGGGAGAGGAGTACAGTATATGCTTGTGTAAAATTTTTGTTATTAATCCCAAATATAAATAAATGCCCTTTGCCATCAATTAATGAATTTTGTAGCCCAGTTAGAGAGAGAGCAATATGTTATATACAGTACAGTGAGTAAATACCAAGTCCATATACTGTAGTGGAATTGAACCCGCTTTCCCAAACTTCTCAGATGGGTTTGATTATATTGTACAGGCTCAGTATTTAATCATAGTTTTATCACGTGATTTTTTTTGTGGTATGTATACAATGTTATTTTTTCAGGCTGAGGTTGATGAAGCTCTCCTGATGAGTGCCTCTCCAGAGGTGGCCACCAACCTCATTCTTGGACGCCTCCACCCGTCTGCCGTCCTTCATCCCTCCACCACTAAAGTGCGGTCTTCACAGGCCGACTCTCAGCACACAGAAACAGCCAGCAGCACCTTGGTGCAAGGTCAACAAATATTAGAGCATCACATGCCTTCAGAAAATCACGATACTACGACCACAGCCTCTCTGAGTCTTAGCTTTGCCTCGGCATCGGAGGAAGGTGGTGAAGGCTCCGGAGATGGATTAGACGTGTCTGAAGAGATTTTGGAAGTTTCCGAGGCTATAGATGGGTCTGAGGAAGATCAAGCAGGGAGCTTGCCTAGTGAAGTAGAGTCCGACTCTCACAAAGAAGATAATCGTGGTTACAATATCCGAAAGAGACACGTCAGGAGTCCTAAAGCAAGCATTGGAGATGTTGGAAAGATTCCAAGGGATGTAGGAATGAGAGAGGGCACCAGTACAGGTACAAGGGAAATCAGGGATGGAATATTGAGAGATGTTCGGGACCCATCTTGGATGTTGCAGTGGGACTCTGGACGTAGCAGCAGCCACAGTGACTATCTAGATGATTACTTGGAGCTCTTGACAAGCAAATGCAACAGTGGTCTTGGGCTAGAGGCTAATGTGTTATCTGTAACAACATGCAAAGGTCCTTTACCAGTCACCAGTACCACCACTGCTACCTCTAGGGTCATAAGCACAAGTGGCTCAGAGACATCTAGTGGAGGAAATTTCTCCACTTCCGTGGCGGCAAACACTAATGGTAAACAAAAGGATAACAAATCTGAGAATTTGGAAGCCAGTCACAAGAAGACAGCTGGCCAAGAGAAAGATAGTGAAAAGCAAGAAACTAAAGAGGGCACTAAAGAGAAAAGAAGCCCCAGGGAACTCCAGAGAACCAGAGATATGCTTGCCGAACCTCGGTCTCTGTCGGCAGCCTCGGAACGAAGAGCGAGCAAAAAGAGCAGGGCCCGAAGATGGTCATCGGCTCAACCACTTGATCCAGGCCGCAGTGTAGGCAGCAAGTAAGTGTGATGGTTCTTTTTCTTCATTAATTAGTGTAGGCATTACAGACTGTGTGTAAGAAAGCAAAGCAAAGAGTTAGAAGTATCTGGCTCATAAGATAAAAGATATGTATTCACCATCCATTACTTCCATTATATTTCCATAAATTAATGTCACTGGGAAATATGTACTTTAGAGCCATAGGTTAGTGGTTTAATTACTCTGCTTGGGAGCCGGTAAGCCGAGTGGACAGCATGCTGGACACGTGATCCTGTGGTCCCGAGTTCGATCCCGGGCGCCGGCGAGAAACAATGGGCAGCGTTTCTTTCACCCTATGCCCCTGTTACCTAGCAGTAAAATAGGTATCTGGGAGTTAATCAGCTGTCACGGGCTGCTTCCTGGGGTGGAGGCCAGGTCGAGGACCGGGCCACGGGGACACGAATGCCCCGAAATCATCTCAAGATAACCTCAAGATTAATATCCCAAGAAACTGGACGTAGAGGACTTGATGTGAGCAAATAAATTCTACTGTTCTCTTGACTCACAAGCGAGGGACTAGAGTTAAAGACCTCCCCTAGCAGAACAGAAATGGTTGAGCAGGTTTCCTTTCACCTGAAGCCTCTTCACCTAGCAGTAACTACAAACCCAGGAGTTAGGCAACTGTTGTGGGGTTGTATCCTGGGGAAGGTCAGTAATTAAACGTTGGTGGGACCTTGATACAAATATGTCTGGAGAATACCTGAAGAGAGTTTTGGGAGTAGTTCGTCTCCCTGAGCCCAGCCTGGGTCCAGGCTCAACTTGCGATAACTTGGTCCAATAGGCTGTTGCTTGGAGCGGCCACAAGTCCATATATTCATTGCGATCTGGCTGGTTTGGCAGTTCGTGGAAGAACTCGTATAAATGATTTTTGAAGACAAGCCTGAAGTGTGTTGTGACGGGTTGTGGTATCGCAGCTATACTGAACCAAGATGGTATGGCTCTCCCTCACATAATAAAAAAAATGCTACTATTGGCCTTGCAATGTGTAAGTCGCAGGTGGAAACAAATAAAAATCATCAAATAAATAATTAAACAATTTACTGAAATATTAACACTTTCGCCTGGGCATGACGCAGCATTGCGTCATCCGTTTACTGTCGGTAATACCGGGGATGACGCATCATTGCGTCATCCACTTTAAATAATCGCCAAAAATCAGGTTTTTTTCCGATTTTTTGGGGACTGGTTTTAAAATGTGCGCCGATGTCTTCCCATTTTCTTTGTTGAGCCTCGTGGCCCTCAGGCGGCTTGGCACACGCCGTGGGCCCATTGTTTTCGTTCCACTGTTGTGACCAATGTCGCCTCCCCTCGCATCTCAAACGTGTGAACATTTCGGCTATTTTCCGTGGCTATATTTCTTACTGCGGCTTTAGAAACTATCTACGCTTACTCCACGATGGATAGTGATCATGAACAAGGCCCTTCCAGGAAGAAAATTGCGAAAGAAAGGCTTGAAAAGGGAGGGAATTGGTAGTGTAGCTGCAAGGCGTCTGAGCGCTCACTCGCAGCTAACGCGTGGCCCGTCTTCAACTCGTCGGCGGTTGGAGCGTGACCAGGTTTTTTATTTTATATGCTAATGTTCCTCTAGAGAATTCTATTGTGAACCCATTGAGACCAAAATGAAAGACCTAGGACGAAAATTGAGGTGAGCAGAGTGAAAATAGTAAAAACATTTTATCGCGTTTGCGCGCTCCTGGGTAACTCGTTCGCACTTTCTCTGTTTGCTGCGGGTAATTAGCTGGGCTTTTGAAGTTTATATGCATTTAGTGCTGAAGAGAATTTTATTGTGGACACAATGATACCAAATTTAATCTCGTAGGACGAGAATTAAGGTGACAAAGTTGAAGAGAGTATACACTTTTCAGAATTTACGCGCGCTCCCGTGACACCCTGGGTCCCATATCACACAGTTGAGGGGTGGCGCGCGGGGTACGCCAAAGTGTTAATGAACATAAATGCCCCTGAAAATACTTTGGCTCTCATGTAATGCAAAAGTGAACAAGTTAGTATGACCTTAAGTGTAAAAAATAAACTACAGTATAAGCAATGAATAAAAGCATAAAGATATACTGGTGTACTGAAGACGGCTATCATACCACCATGGCATCAATCGCACGACGTTGGCTGAAGGCGGACGACGGGTGAGACACGAAGGTGATCCTAGAGCACTAAGGGAGAGACTGGCTCTCCAGGGAGGCAGCGCCCTTTATATAGTCCTGCGGTGAAGACTCATCCAGTGTCAACACGAGGTGGACATCTGGTCAACTAGCAAACTGCTCATTGTTGCTGGTGGTGCCTTTGTGTTGAGCTGCACCACTGTCAGTTGAAGGCGGCTAACAGCTTGTTTGTGGGGGCAAACTACCGGTTAGCAGAGGCATCCGGTTTCCCTCTGAGTCGTACCAGGCCGTGCCAGGCCCTGGGGGGAACGGAGAGGTGGCAGGACTGATGACTCATCTGGGCTGGTGTAGATGTATACTTCCAGTGCAGAGGCATTGAAGGTGAAAGGAAAAGGCAGTTTCCCTGCTATGCAGGGGATTCACGTGACTGTGTATAGACACAGGCTTCCTGTATCAAACAAAATTAATAAATTCCCGACAATCGTGCTTTTTGCCTCGTCTTCCTCCTGCTGGTCTTCTGTATACTGTAATGTGTTAAGTTCGGAAAGTCTTTTACTGTATATCAAATTCTTTGCAGTGAAAATTTATGATTTTAAAGATATTGTCTGCTGGCATAGCATTAAACTTTTTTCTGCAGATTCTTCGTAAGGTTCATGATCTTGGCCTCTTGAGTGTCTGTGTGCTCGAATCATTTGAAACAATTGATGTGAACCTTCAAGAATTTCTTTCAATTAGCATTGACCTAACTTCTTCAGACTGAGAGTCCTCAGAATTAGGGCTTATTATACCTTGGAAAATTGGCTTTACCATATTAAGTGAGGAAGATCCATGGGTGCCTACTCACATTTACACACACCTTACCTAACATACTAAACACTGTTACACTCTGATTGCCTGATTAGTTATGGTGTTGGTGTTAGCAGCTTGTAGTTTGGCATAGGTTGGTATGGACAAATTGCTTGGAAATTTGTAATGTTCCCTCATTAAAATGTAATTATTGATAATTTCCCTTATACATTGTGTTGAAAAGCTATGATCTTTTTCTTTTCTACAGGTACCATCTAGTATGCTTATGTAGCCTTGCTGTTCACTGATAATGTTCTATGCACTATGTAGGCCTCCTGTTATCACTGTTAATTATAGTAGTCTTCTAGCTCAATGTAATATTGTAACACATTTTTAGACACTTTAAGTGATATGCATAATATTGGTTTAGAAGGTTACAGAAGAACATAATAGGATGCAGTCCAGGATAAAGAATTGTTTTCATAAATAGGGAAAATAATGTACTGTAATCATAGTCAAATAAAAGAAACTTTTCTGGAGGGAGCATCTTGTGGTTCCCTGAAGCTATCTTCCTGGGATTGCTTCAAACTAAAAGGCCACATCAGTTGTGAATGGGTCCAGGCTCTGTTTGGCCTGCCAGGGACCAGTGCCAGAACCTGGCCCCACATAAGAGGCACAGGGAGCAGGTGATAATCTGCCACCTCGCCAGAAAACACCTCCAGGAACTCGGCACAGCTTTACAGACAACTGGAGGGGGTCACAAAAAACACTCAAACTGCCAAACAACTACAGCAAACGAGTTACACAGACTAAGGAATTCACTCAAACGAGTTCGAAACCCATTAGTACCAGTTACCACCCCCAGGTGACCCTGCCCTGGCTCCCAGGCGGCTCCCCAAATTGCTTCTGTTCTTGATATTGGTGTTTCGACACCGACTTGTAGTGCTTCTCGTGGGCGAGCCCCAAAGTTGCAAGCTTTAGTGCAGGTCATCCATGGACTTCCTTGTCCTATAGAGACCATTTGCTTTTTTGTATAATTTTCTATTTTAGTGTAGCTTCATGTGCATGTTTTGATTTCAGCTTGTTGTGTGTTCTTGACTCTTTGAGCATTTTGGCAGCATGTACTAGGAGTTCTCTTCTTTGTGTGCCCACTAATGCTGCCCTCGCACAGCCAGAGCTTCCCTTCTGGTGTGTCCAGGTATTTGCCCCCTGTGAGGCTGGCCCACTGGGGTGGGTGCCTCACCCTTGTCTGTTCAGGGGTCTTCCTTCCTCTGTTTGGCCCTTGGTTAGGGGCATTCTTTGGTTGTTGGGGTGCACTAGGGGTTCACAGGCTTGTTTACATGGCACACCGAGGTTCCCTCCCATAGCCTGGTGGTTAGGCTATAGTTGGTTTTCTTTCCTTCGGCAAAAGGCCCCAGTGCCTGGGGGTACCCCGATTGATTTTCCTTCTGGCCCAGGGTATTTCCTCCGAGTCGTTCATGGTTCTTATGGACCTGCTCGTCGAGCTCGGACTCACTGTTTGCGAACTTGAAGTTTTCATTGTCTCTGCTACCTGACGATGATCATTCTTTTGTCTGCGCCATGTGACCTGGTGGGTCTGTGATGTTTATGACCCAGAGTCCTATGACGTATGTTCTCGCTGGGTCTGTTTTGACAGATTCTGCCTCCTAGTTAAAGGTTTTCCAGGCAGCTGCCACTTTACAGAGTCAGTTTGCCCATGTGAAGCATTTGCAGCCTATTGATCAGCTGGAAGCCCTGGAGTTGGCCCCTATTGTGTTTAGGGAGCTGAAATTGGAAGTGTTGGTGGTCTTCACTGGAACTCAGCATTGAAAGCCCTGTTTCAATGCTTGCATTTCTGATGTTGCCACAGTGTCATAAAATCTACCCAGCCTGGAGTTTGCCCTTGGGCCCATGATGTTTGTGATTGGCTTTGGCAGCCATCTTCTCTAATATGTCATGGCCTGATATTCAAGCTGGGGTTTTGGTGTTCTAACAGGGTGCTGGCGACCCGGTATTTGGTTAATGTTCCTGGGCACAGTTGGTCGTGTGTGGCTTTGGGCCATGTTTCCCAGCCTGGTGTGTTTTCTTTGTCTTGAGTACCTGCTGCCTCTCCTCCTTCCTGGTAAGTCCTTTTCTTTTCTGTGGTTAGATTAGCTTCAGGAACCACAAGGGGCTCCCTCCAGAAATCCATCATTGAATGCAATGAACACCAAGTTCTGGAGGAGCCCGTCTCCTTGCATCTCTCCAACCTAAGTTCATCAGTTCATCGTGGGTGTGTTCATCGGGTCCGGAACTGAATTGGGGAGCTGGCTGGGAGCCAGGACTCGGATTCACGAAGCAGTTATGCAAGTACTTGTGAACGTGTCCATTTTTCCTCAATCTTTGATGGCTTTGGTTACATTGATTGATTAAACAGTTTATAACCATGAAAAATCCCAATCAACTGTTGTTATTGTTATAAACAGCCTCCTGGTGCTTCGGAGCTCATTAACTGTTTAATAATGTTAAATAAAGCCACCAAAGATTGAGGAAAGATGGACAGGTTCGTAAGGGCTTGCGTAACTACTTTGTGAATCTGGCCCCAGGGCTGTGCCGCCTGATAGTGGTATTTGGTGCTAACTGGTTTCAAACTCGTTTGAGTGAATACCTTGTTCTGTGTGACTCATTTGTGGCAGTTGTTTGCCGTTTTTGAGACTCCATTTTATGTAAACCTCCAGTTGTCTGTAAAGCTGCACTGACCTTCTGTAGGTTTTTTCTGGTGAGGTGGCAGTGTCTCTCGATCCCTGCACCACTTGTGAGAGTGCCGGGGTCCGGTGCTGGTTCCCAGTAGGCCAACAGAACTAACTGCAGATGTGACATTTTAGTATGAAGCAATCTTAGGATGATAGCGTCACAGAGCTACTGAGGGCTCCTCCAGAAATTAACATTTTATCACATTAAACACTTGAGTTTTTCGTAAATGGTTGTCCATTTATAATTGGGTTAGCTTGCATTAATTTACAGTAAAATTATTTTGACATGGAATGAATTGCATAAAAATGTTAAGGTTTATTAATACATTATTATTTAATGTTAATGTTGTTGGCTGTGTTAACTGGTTGGCTACTTAGGCTTATTGGACTGAATCTCATATAAAAAGTGTGAAACAGATAGTCTTTAACTGTATTCCTAACTGACAATATTTGATATAATAATTTTAAATATGAAATCAGTGCATCAGAGCCATAAAAATACATATACTATAAATTGTATGCCAAAAGAGAATTGCAAATGATAACAGTAGGATAATTCATTCATTCACTTGTGTGCCAACATTGTTCATTAGATTCTGCTTGATCTCTCTCATTGTAAACTCAAGTTTGAGTACTAATAAGCCCATGTATGATGCTTAGTTGTTTGTTACAGGTATCTTGACAGCTATCTTGGCAACTTGACGGATGATGCCTGGCTACAATATCCTACTCACTTGACCTCCCGTCGTATGGTGTTTCTCAGCTCTGATGAGTACATACTCTCGGTGAGACCTCAGGCTTATAAGAAGGCTGAAGAGGAAAGCTCGGGCACCAGAAAGCGTTCGGAAAGTTCAACATCTGAAGAGAGCAAAAGGCATGACACGTCTATTACTTCATCAGACGATCCACTTTCTAATGCTCACGATGAAAATACTTCCTCGGATGATCTCTCGAAGAGTCGCTCCGGTAAAGATAAGACAGTAGCAAGTAAGCCACATTCTACAGGAGAAAATAAATTGGCAGCATCACAAAGCAGTCAACAACCTCAACAGAATCTGAATCTCGATGGTAAAAGCATCCCGAGTGCTACTTTACCAAATGAATCTTCTCGGCAGAGCCTGGAGGCAATGGCTACATCATTAGGGAGTCAGGATGTTGAAGAGAATGGCTTGTATGAGGCTCCTGAAACACCATCTGATAAGACGGAAACTAAAGTTAGTAGCGATGAAGGAATTGAAGTTCTAGGAAGCCCAGCAAGCACAGGCTCGGGTGGGAAGCTTGTTGATGATAGCTTGTGTGTTAAAACCTCCAGTACGACAGAAGTTCCTGTGATACATAAAGAGATAAAGGTAATTCCTCCAACCCCTAGTGATTCGGTAAAAGGTATTGTAGATCCTGACCGAAGTGAAGTAGAGAGTACGGCCCCAGCATACAAGGTTTTGGAAGTTTCAGGCTGTGCTGAACGTAGTGAGGAGTTTCAGGACAGTTCTTCAGAAGACAGTAGTGAAACAGAACCCAGTACTATTGTTTATGTTGATGACTGCCCAACTGACAGTCTAAGTGAAGGGCAGAAAAGTTCTCTTAATTTAAATGAAATACAGAAAAGTTCTCACATGGATAGTGAAGTAAGAAATATACTTCAAGTGGATAGCAGGGACCAGAGCATTCCTCCGATGAAAAGCAAAGAACAGAGCAACTTTCAAGATAATAATAGAGAACAAAACGGTTGTGAAACACAGGAAAATATTGAAGACAGTGACAAAGACAGAGTTTTAGTACCCCACAAGTTTGTCTCGCCACACAGGGACAATAAAGCCTCTGAGCTGGTTGAGCACCAACCTTTAAGCGTGGATGTGCAGCTTGTTAGAGCATCAGAGCATATCAAGGGAATGAGAGAGAGTGGAACAAAAAATGACTTTGAAATGTGCACTCAAAGACCTGTTGATGGCCAGAATAAGGAAAGGGTGGCTGAATATGACATGTATGATTCAGATGATGAATGCTTGGTAGTTCAAGTGTACGAAGACAAGAACACTGTATCTCGTGGTGAAACGAGTGATTTGTCTAGAATAGAAAGAGATGAGAGTACAGAATCTGATCAAGCAGAGCAGGTAATTAAAATTGTCCCACAGAGAAGGGACAAGATAAAATATGATAAAGATGCCAGTTGTAAAGTAGAGCTTGTTCCATATAAAAGCTCAGAAAATGCTATGGATCATGTTTTGACTTTACTAAGGGCTAAACAGCAGCAGGAGTTAGAGGAGCTACGCCTCCGCCAGGAAGAGGAAGTTAGAGAGTTTATTCGGCAGTTGCAGTGTGTGTCCCCAGAACAGTTGCATGCATTCCTGGCTGCAAGCAGTGCTACTGCTCCAAGCTCAGATGGCAGAGTTGATGGTTGCCTAGACGTGTCTCACAATGTTCTGAAAACCAAAGCCCTTGTCAGACCAAATATTGAAAAAAATGATTCAAAAGGTGGAAATAAGCAAGAGGGATCCAGTGTTTGCACTGAAGCATTCAAGGAACCATCTCAACATGGTGACAGTGCTGAAACTTCCGAGGTGGTCTCCTCGACCAATCCTACCTACCGTGGTCAGGCCAGAGAATGGGGTAGTCGGTCAGGTTTATCACCTACACCCACACATTCACAAGCTGTTATGCAGTCGTGTGCCTCCACATATCCATCGGCCATTACACAGTCATATTCCTCCATGCACTCATCAGCTGTTACTCAGTCATATTCTTCCACTCATCCATCAGCCATTACACAGTCATGTTCTTCTGTGCAACAGCCCATTAGTTCAAATCTTCCCTTGACAACTATTCCATCAGGCACTTCCCCTCCTCCCACAACTAGTGAGAAAACTAGGGTAGAATCTCCCAAGCCTCGACCATCCAATCATACTAATCTTATGCCATCTTACATAATGAATGAAGAAGCAAGAAAATCTTCAGGAAACCAAGAAAATGATAACTACTTGCATCTTGATGCAAGCTATCAAGCTCTTGGTCCAAAGAATCTCTCTCCTCAAATGTCTAACAGTCCACATCACATTCCACTTTCGAGTACTTCGGTAGGCGATTCCGAACGTAGTAATATTGAATATTCACTATCTAGGAATAACAATTCTAATCTTGAATCTGTTGACTCTGTAAGCTTCATTAATGGGAACTGTGTTAACTATGGTGATGGAATGCAGTACTATAGATTGTGCACACCCGACGAAGATCTTAGCATTGACGAAATCACTCCAAGGACCACCGTGGCCGAGTCCCACTACCAGTCAAAGCCTACAGAGACTGTAACCCAACCAGGATTGTTTAAAGTTTTTGGTAACACCCCTTGGCCTAGCCCACGGCCCACCAGCATTACCAGTCTCTTGGCCGAGCACCCAGAGATCTTCAGAGATGACATAGTGGAGGTGAACCTTGATCACCCGGGTGACTGGGGGAGCTCTACTGTAGGACTGAGGGAACCCTGCAGGAACGTTGTGGAGGAAAGAAGTATGGTTCTTCAGGATGCTGTCACAGCTGAAGGTGGACTTGACATGGTTCCAGAGAAAGAAAGCGCCTCCAGTGTCCACTTTCATCGGCTGGTTAGTAAAGATCTTACTGATTTTGTTTGTGAAAATCTACCACAGCAGTACTGTAGCCCTACAATAAAAAGGAGAAATGATTTTTCCAGGAGACGCATCTTCTCTTATCTTTTAATTACTATAGCTCAAGTGCCTCTTCACTCCTTGATGGTGGAAAACTGTAATTATGATGCTGTGCCTGGCATTTATATCTTCTCTCTCTTTTCTCTACCCAAATTATATATATATATAATATGGATTGTATATTTTTTTTTATTTTTTCTTTCTAATGTGCACTAGAGAGACTGTAGTGCACATGTTTTTACATATTGGTCCAAAACTGGTGGTGCCTGGGATTACAGTGTGTGTTGTAGATACCCAAGTGCCAGTTAAAGTTCAAGTATGTTTATTGGGACCATAAAATACATCTCAAAAGGATAGAGTAGCTTAGGCTTTTTCTTCCCTCCCTAAGTGCCAGTATTCAAACACCAAAACAGTGTATCATTAATTTGGAAGGAAATAGCCATGTATATTAGTCTATATTATCCCTCCATTTGTTTTGATGCTACATATAAGGCAACACAAATTGAATAACGGTGTGTCTGATTTTCGGACGTTTGGCCCCGTGCCTCTCTTGACGAGGGCATTCCAAAGGGAAATGTTTCGTGGCTCATTTCTTACCCGGAGCATACCTGTAGAGGGTTTCGCGAGTTTTTCTACTCCCCAAGCCCAGCCTGAGGCCAAAAAACTGACTGTTAATATGGAAGGTAGAAAAAAGTCGGTAAAAAAAAAAAAAGGGGTGGGTGGTAGGAGAAGCGAACACTCATACGTATTCAGTTAAATGACAAGTTTTTCTCTGAATGCTCAGTGTTCCCTTCTTTGAGGCTGTGGGTCCCTATAATTGCACCAGAGGTGGTATCCCCTATATAAAGGTAGAATGTCATGTTTAGATTAAAGATTGGTGGCATTTCCAGTTAAGAGATAATATACCGTACTGTATTCTGGCAGTGGTCAGCTTAGTCTGGTCACAGCCGAAAGGTGTAAAGTTATCCCACAGCAGTTTTGGGGGTCTAGGAGTTCACTTTCCATCTGATTTTCCAGGATCACATCCTATGCTAAAAATAATATTTGCTATTGGATATTATTTCAGAGTCAGAATGTGATCTTCATTAAGGGCATTATCAGACTGCAAGCTTGTATTCGCCGATACATGACACAAAGACTTCTGCGCACCAAGTTTGTGGAAGAGCAGCTGGCAACACTGGCCGAGATCGCCAAGTTGGCTCAACAGTTCCGTCGGGATATACTCACCGACAACATCCACAAAGGAGATGTGGACTTCCATAAGGCCCTCTATAATCAGGTGTGTGCCAGGAAATATCATAAAACATACAGGAGTGTAATATTATTTTTTGTAATTTTACATAAACTATGTCTGCTTTAGTGCTATATTTTTGTAAATATAGTTGTTGCTCACCTGTATGTCCTTCCTGCAGGTAAGCAAGGAAGTGTTGAGGAAGGCAAGGATCCCTTTAGTGTGTTGCATTCTTTGTATACATTTGTATTCCTTATGCTGGCAGCCACAGGCTTTATGCTGGCAGCCACAGGCTTTGTGCTGGCAGCCATAGGCTTTATGCTGGCAGCCACAGGCTTTATGCTGGCAGCCACAGGCTTTATGCTGGCAGCCACAGGCTTTATGCTGGCAGCCACATGCTTCATGAATGCACTTATTTTATCACTGCTATACAGTACAGCATTATGGATTGTACGTAATATATGAATAGAGGTACAAGTACGTACGTATAAGAAATATTGCTGGGACAATTTTAAAATTGGAAGTCTTCAAGAAAAAACTGGGTAGTTTTCTGCAAGAAGTGCCAGACCAACCGAGCTGTATGTTGGCCTGCAGGCTGCTCCAAGCAACAGCCTGTTGGAGCAAGCTCTCACAAGTTGAGCCTGGTCCTGTGCCAGGCTTGAGGAGAACAAATACTCCCATAACCCCATCCAAGTATAATCCAGGCCCAGGGGTGACCTCAAATTTTGTACCGGCCTTGCTTGTTTGCTGTGTATGTATGATTGTTATTATTACTACATAGTTCTCTCTAGAAAAAAAACAAAGATTGGAATGTGCATAATTCTGTCATCATAAATATAAATACACAATATACTCTGCCCACTTTCCTAAATGTACACTAGTTTGCTGCTCTCATAAATTTATTTGGTGTAAAAATAAAAAATAACAGCACATGGCTAAAATATCCCAAGAATGCCAACTCCACTTGGCTGTAAGTATTGGATTGACCAGTTCCACCTGAGGCGCCACACCTTGTGGATAATGCACTGTATGAGCTCGGTTATCCCAAGCCTACTCAGAACTACACATTTTAAGAACTACAGTATCAAACAAGATTACGAACTACAACAAGGCAAGCTGAAGTATATTTTAGATTATACTTTTGATGTACAGTATAGTGTATGCAGAAATTCAAATTATGTTGGTTTTGATAGCAAAAAATCAGAATTTGCTCATTTTTGGACTTGATAAGAATTCTGCTTATCCTGATATTTGGCTCGTCCAGTGAATGGTCCTCGTGTAGTTCCAGATTAGTGAGTTTAGACAGTACTAGGCATGTTAGTGTTGGTGATAGAGAATCAAGAGGCCAGGCTTCGCAAGCCTGGTCTCGGGCCAGGCTTGGAGTAGAAGAACTCCCAGTACCCCATCAAGCAGGTATTAAGACCCAGGGTGACCCATGTTGCCTTGCAATTCTAGCCAGACGAGTTAGTGCAAGGGGTTCTTTGCTTCTTGCCAACTTATCATTTGCCTTGTTGCTTCTTTGTTTTATTAAGAGCATTGATTTGTTTTGCCTGTGACTTTCTGGACAATTTCTTTGGTTTTGAGTATGATCACTGATTCCCATGCTTCCCTTGCCTTTGAGTGAATCGCACTCTGATCCTAGTTTCTGACATGCCTGCATAACCCTCAGGAAGGCTTGGCATGTGTCTGGATGGTCTATTGTCAGTGTAATTAGCACTATTCACATAATTTTTTGGTACAGTGTGTAAGGTTAGGTTAAGAATGGGCAGTAATTTGGAAATGTGATCATTGGAGAGAAGAGACCCCCCCCCCCTGAGTGATGGAGCAAGTCTAGCCAGAAAAAACCTCATATCTATAATTTGTCATAGCCCAGCATAACATCAGGTTTCAAAGATAAGGGTGAGATTTAGTTTGGTGATGGACTTAAGGCCCATCAACCTATGGAGGGTTAAGGCCACCGCCATATCTTACTGACCATCAAGCAAGTACACTGTAGGCCTGAAAATATTTCAGGACTAAAGTACTGTATACTCTGTGTAAATACACCATGAAATAAGGTACACCTCTTGGTGTATATATCCCTGTGAGTGAGGAGTTAGGTTTAGAATTTTTGTATATGGAAAATCATATTTATTTTACTTTAGGTTACACATTTTTCTTAGGATAAAAAAAAACTGATGAACAGTAGTAGTTGTGTGCCGTTAGGGTGCAGCTTTAATTCTACATTCTGATAAATGGGTTAATCTGCAGGAGGCATTGGCTCGGGAGAGGATTCGTAGAGTGTTTTTCGTGCTCAGTGTTGAAGAACAGATGTCTCTCATCCGCCGAGATCGACATCTGTGGCAGATGGATCAAGACCGACAGAATGCCGGCGTCTTTCGTTCTTCACCAACACACACAGTTTCTAAGTATAAAAACAGGTGAGAAAAATTTTGTATAATATTTTTTATTATTTTCAAGACAAATATTTTGGAAGGATGTTGGGGTTCCTAACATTTTCGAATGAGAAAATTGCCAGCTTTGATATTTTGTTAATGAATAGTAATCATGGGATATATCTACTGTATCTAAATCTTAAATGTGGAAATCTGGGTCTCCAAAAAGTTAGTCTTGGGCAGGCATATGTCTGTTTTATGAAACCAATAAAGTCCCGCTTATCCATATCTCGGTGGAATAGATTCCAGATACAATAGATGAAATGTAATCCTGTTATGGTCACACATTGCTATGTATACCTTGTTTATTAGAAAGGGAAAACTTCTACTAATCTAGATTTGCATGGAAGAAAAATGTAAAAAAATCTTTAAATAAATACTGTTGTAATGAAAGTGTACATTTTGCTTAAGATTTGGTGTAAAAATATCAGGGGGTACTTTTAAAAAATCTATATATATATTTATGCTAAACTGGGATAGACTATATGGCATCACACACACAAATCACAAGAGCGTGATGCATCAAATGAACAAATTCACAAGGGCCGTGATGAGGGTTCGAACCTACGTCTGAGAGGATCAGTGTGAGGCCAGAGGAACTCCTGGTTACAATTCTTTTAACAATATCATGGCCTAGTCGATTAAGGCGCATCAGGGGTCCTCTCAGACGTAGGTTCGAACCCTCATCACAGCCCTTGTGGATTTGTTTATATGGCATTGCTTGATTGGAAATTTGAGTACAGCGGAAGGAGATTATTCACAATTAACACACATTCCAATGGCACATAAACATGTCATTTACTACATTTACTTTAATTTTCCAATAACATTTTAGTGTGACATCTGATCCAAAATGTCTTTAAATTATTTCGCTTATTTCTGCAGCATGATAAACACAACTTTTCAGATATCGTAGTGTGCCTCGTAAGCGAGCCGTGTTCATAAACCCGCACTGTAGTTGTTGGTTCAGGAATTGGATAATGACTATACATACTACAATGCAATAATTCTTGCATTCCATATGCTATTGTTTAAATTCTTCATAAGCCCAAATATTGTATAGCAGTTATGGAAGATCTTAAAATTTCCTTTTAAGAGATATTTATACTAAAAAATTTAAAGCACAATTTTTCATGTCTATTTGGTAGAATGTAATATTGGAGATGGCCTATTAATATTAGGAATTAGCTGAGTAGCCGAGTAATCTTGCTATTATCCTGTTATACATTTCACAGAAATGTTGAGGAAAAGCCACGATCAGTGACTGCAACAAAGGTGCCGGCAGCAAAGAGACCCTCCCCAACTGGACCAAGACCACAGCAGGATGTCAAAACTCGTGCTGGGTCTCTCAGAAGCAGGGCGACTCGGTTGGTTCAACCATCTGTTACTCATCATTCGTCGTCATCGCACACAGTCCATGTGCCTAATGTGCATGCAGATCACAAACATTCCCCTAGGGTCAGCAAACTCCCAGTTCAAATGGAAAGATCGTCTTCGCACGTGGAGAATGCCCCGCCTCATTATAGTAAGCCATCTGTACATGTCAAGTCGCCTCAAGATCCTAGATGTGGTGCACTTCAGAGTAACAGATGTGCATCCCACCCTCGCAGTAGCAGTGCCTCGCAGCTACCCACCCGAAGTGGGTCACGGCAAAACTCTCGAACTTCAAGTCACGTGCCAAGTACACCTAGAAGCATGAGCTGTACTCCAAGAAGTACAACCCACTCTAACAGCCCACGAAGAGGTAATATACAGTATATATATTTTTTTCAAACTTTTTAAGTCACAAATTACCCACTTTAACTTTAGCTTTTATAGTGAAGGCAAAATAATTTACTTACTCTCCTACTGTACTTGCTTGTATAACTGGACTTTCTAGTACAGTATTCTTTTTTAAAATACTGTACAGATTAGTATACAGTATTTAAAATAGTCCAATGTAGACATCCTCATCACTGTATGGCCCAGACCTAAATGCCAGTAGGCTCTTCTTCCCTGCTATGTTTTTTTATACAGGTTGATGAGATATATCAATGATTTAATATACAGTGGTACCTTCGTTTATGATTTTCTTCTGTTCCAAGAGACGCATCATACACCAAAAAATCATAAACCAAAACACATTTTCCTATAAGAAATAATATAAATTTGAATTAATCCGTTCCATACAGCCAAAAATATTAACTTGATACATTTTATACAGAATACTACTCATATTTTTGGCTATACTGTACAGGTACCTTACCTTTATTGAGGCCTCTTGTTGATGTATATAAGACGGTGAGGAGGAGGAGGAGGAAAGGTGTTAGTTTTTGGAAGGGGAGTCCCCTTCCATTATAATTTCAGACACTGATGCCATTTCTGGGGAAATCTCCTGTGTTTTGCTAGCATACCTCTAGGACCTGGTTGTGGCTCGCTGTTTGTTTGTCTCGCTAAGAACCTGTCAATAGACGCTTGTTTTTCCCTACGTCTTAACACTTTTCTGTAGCGAGACATCACATCTATTGTTTATCCTCTATCGTCATCCTCACAACTATTTTCTTAGGTTGAACATTACCACTGACTTTCTTGGGACTCGTGGCATGATATATAATAAGAACATTTATGTTCTGAAACCAAAAAAGCAGAAAAACAATGAAATTCTTTACAAAGAATTCAAGCGCGATCGTCACTAAGCAGAAGACACTGGTAAACAGTGAGTGTATCTCACCCACGCCCAGCAGAACCATGCACTCGCTCAGTCCATACAAGTATCAACAGACAAATCGTGTTCCAAGGCAAACGTCGTACACCATTTCAAATTTTACGATGAATTTGACGTCGTATTCTAAAAAATTCATAATCTAGGGCAGTCGTAAACCAAGGTACCACTGTACTGTATCTTGGTTTTCTCCAACTTTAAGTATAATCATTGCAGGGTTGGTGTTGTTTCTCGTGTACATTACTGTCATATATAGTTGCAATCTCAGTTAAGTTTGCTGTATAAGTACATTTCATTGTTAGTGAAAACTTTACTTGTGCTGTCAGCTCTCCACAATACTCATTTACCCATAAAAGCATAATACTGTAACTGATTGTACATAAAATGTACTGTAGTTGGGTGAAGTCACTGGTTCCTGACCCTTGACAAGTTGTCAGCTACACATGCATAAAATAAAACATCTACGGTAGTCTGTGCTGTTGGATAATACTGCGCTAAAAGAGTAACAGGATATCTTCACGTATTCATTACGTGTGTGTGTGTGTGTGTGTGATAAATACACACATGCCCCTTGTGTCAACACCTGCATCAGAGGAGCTCCAGGATATTTAAAAATTCCTAAGTATTATAGAACAGGTTGATGATAGTGAGTGATGTCCCAGGGAACATAAAGGTGTAGTGCTTTTGGAAAATATGAGAGATAACACGAATGGGCCAGGGGAAGTGGAAAAAATTGCATGAGAAAAAATTACCCCTAGTGTTAACAGTGCACAGTTGATCGAAGTGAGTCTCTGATAATTTTTGGTTGCAAAGAAAAGGAGATAACATCCTGTTCAGGAAGAGCTGTAGAAGATGCAAAAATAGTAAATAAAATTGTTGGGCTAGTGGAAGGTCTTACAACCATAGAGAATGTCTGCCTCTACAGGAGAATTGGCAAGTACGTAAAGGGGAAAGATCAACCTTTGAGGATCACCCTAAACTGTGCCAAACAGATAGAAGTACTAAGGAATGTTTGGAAATTACAAAGTAATAAGGTAAATTATGGTTATTATGAAGAGATCTTTCAAAAGATATGATCACTACTTACAAAATAGTAGTGAAAATATATCATTCACTTTCTATATACTGTACAGTGGTACCTCAGCTTACAAATTAAATCCGTTCCCAGAGACGGTTTGTAACCCGAAAATTCTTAAATCGAAGCGAATTTTCCCATAAGAAATAATGTAAATTGAATTAGTCCATTCCACACCCCCAAAAATGTTAACTTCAAAGTAAATTTTAAGACTAATTCACCCAAATCTTTAGTACTAAAGTATGAACAAGTTATTGCTTACCTTAATCGATGACTCTTGTTGGCGTATGGAAGACGGTGAGGAGGCGAGGGGGGGGGGAGGTGTTACTGTTTGGAAGGGGGAGTCTTCTTCCATTATAACATCAGGCAGTGATGACTTCTCTGGGGTACACTTTCTGGCATGGTTTGTCTGCATGCCACTAGGACCTGGTTGTGGTTCACTGCTTGTTTGTCTCGCTAAAAATCTATCCCGTAGAGGCTTGTTTTTCCCTTCATTGTAACACTTGTCTGTAGTGAGGCATCACAGTGTCATTAAAAAGGCTATGGTAACGGCCTACTACAGCCTTGCTTGGGGGAGTTGTTTCAATAAAAGTTTGCATTTCTTCCCACAGTCTACACCACCTTTATTTGAACTTTTATGATCAAATACCCAAATATCCCCCCCAAAAATCGAAACTCTTTACAGATAATTCAAGCACGATTGTCACTAGGCGGGAGGCACTGGTAAACTGAGGCGCAGTCGCTGTGCTACCACGAGCTAGGTCGGCCATACGCGTATCGACAAATTACGTTACCCGAGGCAAAGTTCGTAACCCGATTCGGGTTTTATGAAGAAATTGGGCTCATAACCCGAAAAGTTTGTAAAGAGGGGCATTCGTAAGCAGAGGTATTACTGTATAAGAAATATAAGAAAATTCACTTTCATAAACAGTGGTAGACGGTTGGAACAAGTTAGGTGAGGTGGTGGTGGAGGCCAAAACCGTTAGTTTCAAAGCGTTATACTGTACGACAGAGTACTGGAAATACAGGACACCACGAGTGTAGCTCTCATCCTGTAATTACACTTGGGTAATTACACACACTCATTAAAAGTATGGGGGTTATTTTTCTCTCTTCCTTGGGTTTCCTTTTCTTTTCTTTTCTTTTCTTTTCATCATCTTGTGCACGTAAATGTGCATTTTGGTGTAATTCATTAGTTTCAGACCACAGAGCGTACCATCACAAACATATCGTTAGTTCCATAAGCAATAAATTATTTGGAAAATATATGGGTATTACTGAAGAAAATATGTAGAATAAAAAATAATGGCCTTGATAGTGCACTTCAAGTATATACAGTATATATAAATATTATAAACTTAAGAATTATAAGAAAATGCAATTCCACTTGCTCATTTGCAGACCTTCTTAATGTTGTGTAGTATTGCTTTTATTTATATTCTGTGTTTTCTCTTGTAATCATGCATAATGCAGTATATTTAATAACTTCTTACATACTTTTTCCAATGTGATGCAGCTCTGCAGGTGGGACATGCATCTCCACTGGCCTTCACAACAACGCGGTTTGGAGTACACCGGGTAAACACTAACCTTGCGTAGCCGATGCCACAGTCATGATGATGCTGTGGGAAACTTGAATGCAACATGCATTACATTGCAGATCAGAGTGCATCAGCTCTCTTTACACAGTACATTCCGAGTTGCTGACTTGGCCCTTCTAGTTGATGCCAGCTTGTACTGACACGAGTTATGCTTTACACAATCTTGGCAGTGTTGCCAATATTTTTGTTCTCAAAGATACTATAATTAGCAGCAAATGCATGACAGAGGACTGACACACCCCACTCTACATGGTATCCGCACACTCTAAGGCACACTCGACAGCACATTACAGCACACTCTACTCTTCACCGCACACTACGGCACACTCGACAGCACATTACAGCACACTCTACTCTTCGCCGCACACTACGGCACACTCGACAGCACATTACAGCACACTCTACTCTTCGCCGCACACTACGGCACACTCGACAGCACATTACAGCGCACACCACTCTTTGGCACACACACTGCTGTACACAATATGAATCATGGTATACTTATTGCTTAATCCTTTGCTTCGTACAGCTTATTGCTGATGTTAATTGAACACCTCTTTTTTTTCTTTTGTTGCTTATATTAGTACACAAACCTCTAATTATTCTCTACGTATATGAAAGGAATGTGATGTTTATCATAACTTGAGAGTACAAAGCATAACGTTGTGAAACTTTTATATGCTTAAGATTTATTTATACCCAACATCATAATGTTAATAAAAAATTGACAAAAAAAAATTCATAACCTAGTTATTTATGTTTACCTTCTACTATAGTTTATATCTTTAACTGTTCCTCAGTTTTAACTGTTTCTCACTTGTTCCTTCCAAATATTTCTCAAATAACATTACTGGTTTTGGGTTTAACATAAGTTAAAATAGTGCTTTTCTATACAAAAAAAAAACTTGGCATTGATTGTAATGAAATGATTCTCTTCGGTAGAGCCCCAGTGGCTCCCTCAAACTGTCATGTTGAGATTGCTCCATACTAAAAGATTACATCGGCTGTGGAAGTTCAGTTCAGTGTACTGGGGACTAGAGCCAGAACATGGCCTCCCTCACAGAGTTGCAGGAAGCGAGTGACAATTTGCCACCCCACCAGGAAAGAATCCAGAAAGTCAGCACAGCTTTGCAGACAACTGGAGGGTTCACAGTAAGGGAAGCCTCGAAACACCCAAAAGACTCGGCAAACGATTCGCACAGAACAAGGGATTTGCTCGAGCTAGCTCAACACTCATTAGTACCGATCACCACCACCAGGTGGCCCGGTTCCAGCTCCCCGGACCAGCCAGTTGTAGAGCTGATGAACAGCTCACTGATGAACCTTGAAGGGAATTTGGGCATCTGGGAGCTACTGTGGCTGTACCAGAGAGGCGTGTCTCATTACAATCAATGCCGAGTTTCTGGCAGAGCTTCCAGGTGGCTTCCTGAAGCTAACTAGTCACAGAGAACAAAAACACAATTTACTGTGGAGGCGGCAAGCACTTGAATGAAGAAGAGAAACCAGGCCCAGAGACACTGCCCAGAGCAACACATGACCAGGACTAGAGCCCTGTTAGAATGCCAAAATCCCCGAGCTCTATTATCTGCCCAAGACGTCTTGGAGAAAACTGCAGCTAATACAGCTTACTGGCGGATACCATAGGCCCAAGGGTAGATAAATCTCAGGCTGTCTAAATTTAACAATACTGCAGACAAATTGGGAAATGTGAGCCTTGATACAGGGGATCAAAGAAATAGGGTCAACCAACATGGCTTCCCCGGAGACATACAGTGGCTCGCAGGTAGCAGGAAAGATCCACCGCAGAACACAACAAATGATGCACCCTGGCTGAACCAACCATGCATAACTCGCCAAAGCTCGTCAGCTCATTCTTTACCAGAAAAGAAAGCTGTAAATGCAAAAAATCCCCACTAGGTCCAAAAAAACAACCCCCTCCCCACTGGAGAAGAGCCTGAAGCTTCCTAGCTTTATGCCAGAGGTGAGAGCCAACAAAAGCACATCTTAAAAGAAAATATCACGAGTCAAATGGAGAACTGTCAAGGGACTAAAACCTGGTTAAGAGACCAGGACAGTTCAGAAGGAGCATGAACATGCAGTAAGTGGAAAAAATGCAACAATTTGTGGAATGGTGCCAAGAAGGTGTTGATGCCTGATGTAAACGACAGCGGCTTGGCTAATACTGAAAGATAAGAGGTGATATTATCAGTCAAGAGTTGCTCCTGCCTGATATTATCAAGAAGCAGCCAAAACAAAAAGGACAGGAGAACCTCGACTATAACTGAAGAAAGACAACGACAACAAAGAAAGATGAGCCGCGGGCAACTTTGTACCGTCACCGTGAAGAAAGACACAGATGAGTCATCATCAAACCAGCCACCTCCATGCCATACAAATGGGGATAGACCCACATCAGGAGTGAAGAGCTAAGGAGAAGGTTGAACTAGCAAAATACATCGTCTGGCTCATCTGCTGAAACAATCTGAGCCACGGGAAAATACTTGGGTTCGCACATAGGCGAGAAGCACCACAAACTAAGGTTGGGTTGGCTACCAAGTAGCCAGAAGGATTGCCCTTCCCAAGTACGACTTCAAAATGGACAGAACTTGGAAAACAACTGAACTGGAGAAAAGGTAAATGCACCTCTATCTTGTGGTGCTTGTCTATCGTCCAGTCAAAATGGATCCACCATGGGAGCCTCGCAATTGGGGAATGGAGTCATGTAGGAGGGAAGGTACCAGTTCCATGCTGACATGATGAGGTCCAATTCTGGGTTGACCAAAGATCTCTCAGAACCAACGGAAGGATAAATTGCCAACTGTTCACTCTGTAGAAATTGGATTGAAGCAAAACTACCCATCTGTGATAACATTGGACACACCCTGCATGTGAAGCACGCAGGGAACTGGACCCCAAGAAAGGAATAGCCAAGTTACTTGGTGTCCAGCTCCACAGGACAATGAACAGAAACAATCTCCCTTGGTTCAAGGTGGTGTCAGAGTTAAGCCAGAGCACAGAACCTGGAGGAAGACAGATTTGGTAGGGATCTCCGAGCATGCCACACAACGATAAGCTCTTGCACTATACTGTGCATCTAAAGGATCGGAGCCGGACATCAGCCCTGGGCAGCCTGATGAGCGCCGATTGTGAACTTCACACTTCTAGTGATGCGGAACAATAACGCCATGGAACTAAACCCTGAAAAGCCTGAAGGGGAAACCAGCAAAGCAAGACTGACAAAGGTTGGGTGGGGCCTGGACCCCCTAGACTCGGGAGCAACAGAAACACCATAAACTGTGAAACTAATACAATGACTAGAGGAAATACTATGTATGCAAAGTTCAGGCTCTTACACAACTGCTCAACCAGCTGGCAAGTCACCTAGGGCTGATCCAGCACACAATGGTGAAGCTGCTGGAGGCAGGAACAGAAACCAACTGAGAATTCTAAATGAGGCCCCAACCAAGTTCGAATCTTGGATATAACTAACTGGGACTTCCTCCAGTTCACCAGGAACCCAAACCTGTCAAGCTTTTAAAGAACCAGATATCTGGCCAGCTGACATGGTGACTGGGGTCCCACACAAGCTAATTGTCAAGGTAGGTGAACACACAAACTGCTAAGAGATGTTGCTGGACCACCACGACCTGCACTAGTCTAGTAAACCCATGAGGCCAGACTCAAGCCAAAGGGAAGAACCCTGAAGCAATAACCCTTAGGCGAAACCTAGCCAGTCCCTGAACCCAAGATGTATTGTGACATGCCAATAGGTATCCTGGAGGTCCAAGGATACCATCCGTGCTCCAGCCTGTAGTAACTGGTAAACTTGGGCCAAAGTTGTCATGCAGAAAGTGGCACAGGAGATGTTCAACCCCAAATGATCGAGGATGCAAAACCCACAGGTCTGCCAAGTCTCACTTCAGGACTGGGAACAACTGGGGACACCCACTGGAGGGGCAAAATCATTTTGCCCACACCCAAGTCAAACCAATATGAAATGACCTGAAGCAGTGCTGGAGGATTCCTGATCTGTGAAACTTGACTCGAAGAATGGGGAAGGGACTGACCAACTCTACTACAGGCTGAGAGATGAACTGAAATGACTCTGAATCATGGGTCCTGCAGCTGTCAAACCAACCAGCTGCACCCCGTCCCCTCCCCACCCCACCTCACAGCAGTATCAAAGGGGCAAACCATGAAAGGACCAGTGTCTCATGAGCAGAACCATTCTCCATGATGTGTAGTTGTGACAGTGAGCAGAGGAGGAACTTGCATCTACAAGCGCAACAGCTCGAGAATCGGACCCACCAAAGGACCTACCTCGACCAACATAGGGCAATGTCTCGTCCCTACTAGACTGCCTGTGATCAGGGGTAGAACCCCTGAGAAAACATATGATTGATAGGACAGCAAGAGAAAACCACAGTGGACAAAACTCGTGCAACGAATTCTCGGGAAAGAGGAGAGGTGAAAAGGGGGAAGTGGACTAAAGGGTTAAGAGACCAAACACAATCTAACTAACATGGCCTGTCAACATTTGAGGCAGACTGAATAAAAATGCCACCACCACTAACCAACAGAGTGGCATGCATTTTGGGCATGGCTGCCAAAGTTGTAACTACAGACCTCGAGGCCTCCACATGTAGAGAAAAAACCAACGACGCCACTTTCTCACGGAGCTACTTGGAGAACCCTTCCACAAGGACACAAACATGCAGGACTGCTTCTACATTGTATTACATGTAGCAGCAGCAAATAAAGTTTTGAAACATCTTATAAAATTTCAAAACAATATATGACAGTGCTGAGAAGACGGAACACCATGAGAATGGCTCTCATTGTGTAACTACACTTGGGTAATTTCATAGAAGGGGATAAGAAAAGTTGCCCCCCCCTCCTGAAGAATAAGACTTGCAGAAGGATCCAAAGTCTGTGCATTGTTGAAGGGCACCCATAGGTCCTCCTTGTGCTGTCTCT